TGAGACCAATGCCTTCCTGTGAAATCTCCAGTGTGCAGAACATTTCCAAAGTGATTAGTACACTGAAATACTCTTAAATTGAAGGACCAAATAGTATCCTGGCCATCAAGCCGAAAAATGAGAGCAATGATCTGTGTGCTATTTTCCTTAAACTGTTTACCATATCACTCTCCACAGTGTTAGACTAATAACTGAAAGACAACACACTCACTATTAAAGCTGTGCCTGTAGTGGATGTTGAAAATTATCGTCCCATAAACATAACCGCAGTAGCATCTTGATTTATGGAGAAAGTAAAGGCAGCTGTAATACAACATCTACTTAATAACAATCTAATATCGACCTCAAAATATGTGTTCTTGAGATCCAGATCATGCGATACATGACTCCTAGATTATCTCAAAAATATCACTCAAAAACAAGACAAAAGGCTTCTAGTATTAGTCCTTTTCTTCGACCTTAAGAAGGCTTTTGATAAGGTCCCACACAAAAGGCTTCTCCTTAAACTAAAGTCATTCGGAATCAGTAACCTACTACATTCATGGTTTGCTTCATTCCTCAATGGGCGCCAACAAACGATTAAATAAAACGATTGTCGATTATCACCAAGACCAATACTTACTTACTTAAGCCTGTTACCCCCGATGGAGCATAGGCCGCCCACCAGTTTTCTCCAACCATCTCTGTCCTAGGCTTCTCTCTCCAGTTTTGTCCAATGTTTGTTCATTCCTCTCATATCTTTCTCTATTTCTAGGCGTAATGTATTCTTTGTCCTTCCTCTTTTCCTTTTGCCTTGAGGGTTCCATGTGAGGGCTTGTCACCAATACCAGTAACCAGTGCAGTTATCCAGGGAAGTGTATAAGGTCCACTATTGTTTCTGATGTACATAAACGATAAATGTAATACTATAAGATTTGTAAGAGCATACTTATATGCTGATGATCTGAAAATGGTATACAGCTATAAGCCTGATGATCTGGACGAAAATATAGACAGGATTCAGAGTGACCTTGACAACTTATGAACCTGGAGCGAATCATGGCAGCTGCCGTTTAACCACAACAAATATGGCACCATGCATTTTAGTAAGCCTCACCATGAAGTACAAATCTACTTACAAAAATGTATGTTTCAGACTCTCATATCAGCGCATGACCTTTGTTACACATGCAGCGTAAACACGTCACTTGATATGCGTGAACTGTTACGAGTATATCCTAGTCGGAAAACGAGAGCGAGGATCGATGATCCGGCGACACGACAGGACACTGTAATCTGATTGTCCCAAACCCCATTGAGCAAAAGAAGAAGACTTGATATGACATAGAAACTGTATTCTACACCCATCTAGAAAGTACGAGGACCGAGTCAGAAAGAGAATCGGGATCCCGGACTAGGGATCTGGATCTCGATCCGGGTCTTAAAACGTTGAATTATGTTTTATTGACAGTTAGGACGATCATAATACTGACCAGTAAGAAATTACCAATAGAATTAGACTTCCGAAAACAATTGTCTCAGGATATTTAATGCATATCCCAACAACCTGGATATTCGTTACTCTCTAAGTCCAAAATTTGATGAACATGCCTCTAGTATTATCCCTCAATCGAGACGGCTATTGGTGTCGACAAATGGGAACTTGACAAATGAGTCTGAGCTTACATTCATCAAAATGTGTATAAGACCCTCACTTATCTTTTCAAATATGAATATCATAGACGAGAACCGAGTATAAAATGTCCAAAGAAGCTTCGCCGGGTGACTGATAGGATGGAACCATACTCTTGACTTCACAGGGAGATGCGAATATCTTTCTCTAGAACATCTATAACGGCCTCGGTGGAAAAACAACCTCATTCTCCTCTATAATGTAACAAACGGTATCTGGTTCGTAAAATACTGTCTGGTTATGAACCACGACGCTACTTTTGGCTTGGAAACAGTGCTTATACACTACTAATGGCGAAACAAAAATAATCTCATTATAATTTCTTTGTAACAAGATAGTTTATTGTCGAACGGACTACCAAATTGTATCCGAATCTGTGACAAAATAACCAGGTTCAGGAAACTAGCAACGCTATTGTTAGACTATAAAGAAAATCATCAACAGCTTTCGGAAGTGAAGCCGAATCCCGAGGCACTCTTTTATGGTCCACTAAATATTTATATTGCCCTAAGAACTGATAATAGTCCGTGAATATATTGAACCCCCATTACCATTCATACAGTTATCGTGAAATCATAAGCTAATTACCCTACTCCTACCAGCAGTAGTAGGCCGCGCGCCTCTGAGGTTCTACCCGTAACAATCGAAGTTTTCTTAAAATTTAAATTCTCATCATTATCTTCTTATCTTACACAGTACTTTTAGTCTTTATCTCTAGTAGACAGGTACATTACAAGGAAATCAAACTTTCTATATCACTGTGAGTTCCTGCTTCTTCAAGTATTGACAGTTAAATAAATTTATACTTCCTCAATTCATGAACATCCAAACACCTTGCTTTCTTACCTATTTATCGCCTACCTCATGAATTATTTTTAACGGTCTTATTTTCTTTTGTCAGCTTTATATCCTTCCTATCTCCAAACTACCTATTTACAATTCTGTATCACACAACTTGTACCATTAGTGAATTTAATAGCAGTGTGATATGCTACGTGGGAAATTAGTCCAACATACAGAAGCCAAAGTTGTCTTGTTTTCTTGTAACGTGGAGCTAGCTAGTAGAGAAAGTGTATTTCGACAAGGGGAATAAAAATAGAGCTTATAGTAACTAGCATTATTTAAAATCTACCATTAAACGTAAGATAGCCTAACTTCACAAAAGGAGGGAGGGTGATGTATCAGACCAGCATTCATGACTTAGGGGACATGACCTCAGTCTACCCATATCTGTAGGGTAGAACAATCTTTTTGCTCACGGCTCCTGGCCAAATAGCAGGATGTAACAAGTCAGTGATATTGATGTTACTTTTCCTAGTTAACCACGTCTACAACCCATGTTTGTAACCCTGAACTGGTTTCACTTCCCAAGATTTGGACCATGAAGTTAAAAATAGCTCACTCGTGACTTCTTGAGCTACAGAGTTAAAAACAGTAATTGAGATATCACAAAAGCATCAGATCACTGTACCTCATTAATAGATTCTGTGAATCAACATTATTTCTAACAGTTTAGTTCTTTTGAATCTCCTTTATTCGTATAATTAATTATCCATTCGTTATCTTATTAGTGACTTGTCTTCATAAACCTACATAAGTGCAGGTGTACAGTTACTATTATAATAAGGAAAAAGAAAGGTGTGGGTAATTACACCCTCGATTAATCCAAAAATATTATCTGTTGAGTCATAACTCAGCTTCAAACAAGAATATGTATGTAAACTGTTGCTATTTGAGAATAAATTATTATTATTCTTTAAAGGGAAGGGGAATATGTTAGCTAACTAATCTAGTTCCTTTGGGTATTGTAATTTAACAAACTAACTGGGCACTATGCTGCTTTGTATATTCGATTTGCTTTTATTTTTCACATTAAAACCAGCATAAACATGAATACCTCGCAAACTTAGTCTGCAAAATTGTTTGTGCTGTTAGCCATATTGTATACACATCGATAAAACTGGTATAATAAATTGAGTTACTAAGATAGTCGAGAAATAGTTTGTTAACTCTTAAATGGGTTAATTCACTGCATAGTCAAGAACATTTTATGTATCTTGAATGTTCCACAACTGTCGAAATTAAAACGTTTATGGCCTTCATAAATACTGAATATTGCATTCAGTAAACTTATATAGTTCTGTGGACAAACCGTATGACTAAAAAGATAAGTTCCGACTGCATTGTTATAAAGATCAGACAATGGACAGTCGGCCTGTATAAAAGGAGTCCATGGACAAGCAGTTCAAAATTCTTGCAAGATTACAGAAATTCGGAACGAAAAGAACGTTAGTGAAGTCAGCTTCAAAGGTTAACGAAACTTAACTCATTCTTTTACTTTGTATTTAAGCAAAAAACTATGGGCAAATATTTAACCTTAGAAATCTCCCAGCTAGGTTATGGTGTCCAGGTTAATTTAATTCCTTGAGCTGAGAATTCAAGTTTGCACCTACAACCCAGCGAAAAAACCTTGGAGTAAATTCAGATAATGTATATTCGAAAGTATCGATAAATTTTAACATTAAAAGTCCTATTGCCATACTTCGCAGTTTATTCTTCGTATAGAGTTGACCTTACGAAAAATATTTTTATGTAAAGGACATGGTGCGTGCTTAGAACTTTACTAATCACGTGAATTTTTTTGTGTCACATCTAAGGACAATGTCTTTTTACAACTTAAAAATTATGGATATTTTATGCTTATGCACTAATAAATTATCTGAAATAATCAATAAAAAATTGATCAATAATGTCTGTTGCTTCACTTTTTCGGTCTGAGTTACTAAGCAGCGTCAGCCAGAAAAATTGAGGAAATAAAATTTAATAAAATTCTGAAGCTAATTTTGATCATCACATTGAATTAATCTAGAAACTAGCTATCATGTGGCGACTGAAATCAGGCAATGTGATTGAGGTTCAGGAGTAGAAGGTCTTCACAAATCTATGTATAGTGTTCTCCGCTGATAGTAATGAAGATAGGGATTTATTTAATTAGGAGGAGAACGTCTTCGTATGAGTTAAATTTATGTCAGCAGCTGTTTATACTCTAATTCTTCATAGAACCAGCGTACTGTATTAATGGGCAATAGATAAATGGTTGATAAGGTAGGGTTTTGTAAACAATGTATGACTGTCAGTAAAAATAACAGTTACCTCAGATGAGTCCATCAGTTTAAATCACGACGATTGTCAACTGGATAAATGAGACGTTTCATCTCACATGTATTAAAAGACAAGTAAAAACAAACAATCCAGCATTTTTACCTTTGGGATGATATATCTATTTTATATAGAAGTATTTCCTCGTAATATTGATTTCCGTTTTTATTTATCCAATCGGTAATTTAGGGCAATTTAACACTGGAGCACTACGAGACCAATGCAGCAAATTTCGTTCTTCCAGATCATTAAAAATAGTTCTAGGTTGGGCAGTAGGGTTATGAGTAGAAGGATTTCTAATAAGATGTTCTTTCATATGTTGTTTAGACTTCTGCGCTACGTTTTCGTGTAGCTCCTGACGTTTTATACGCCATAATGTTTCTAATGCGTGGATATTTGTCGTTCGTAGAGGTATTGAATGCGTAGACTTTTGGGATAATTTTCGAAAATATGGAGACGAGCATGGAGATTGAGGGCGAGAAATAGAACTTGATCGTTGTCTAGCTATTTGTGGAATAACCAGGTCTAGGTCTTTTTCTGTAATCATAGTTATCCTTGACTTGAAAGGGCACGAAATATTTACCTGATTTGATGAAAAGGACTTTGTCATTTTTAGATTTAAAGGAATGGGAGGTAGATTTAGTAAATCCACACAGATATCTCGCGGTTGCATTCGCTTATTTTTCTGTACTGAAATGCTCCCATTCTTACTGAGTACAATGCGGTTTTCAGCGGTGCTAGGGAAGCGGCCATTGTGCTTCGAATTGCAGCAGGAAGAATGAGTAGGTGGAGTAGGACTCTGGGACACGGACTTGTATCGAAGAGGCCTAAATTTTACTTTTCTGGATAGTATAGGTAGTTTCGGATTAGTCTGCTCTTTTTTAATTTCTCTAAGTAACCTTCCTTTATGTGCACGCGAAATGCTGTTTAAGTATGATAGTTTTTCTCTAGGGCATAAATCCAGTCGTGGAAGTTTTTGTCGTTTAAAGCTCCTCTTCAGCTTGCCGGGATTCAGGACACGAATGTCTTTCTTATTGTCTTCAGACTCTGCCATTACTGTCACACAACAACAATAGTGTTCGAAACATTCCACCGAACCAACAGTGAACTCTTAGAAATAACGATTAAAACAACAGTTTGAGAGTTATAATTTTTAAATATCTAAGTATGGTCGAGAAATACGAACTGTATTCTTTAGGGCTCAGAATGGTAATTTTTGGATTCTCAAATCCACAGTTGTTTATAATAATTATGGCATCAATTTGGTTTAGTTTTTCGTTACTACGCAATGTCTGAAGAACAGTTAGTGGTTATTTTGCATAAAAGTTGTTTTAAGGGTTAAAGTAGCTGTTCGCATAAGGCCTTTCACCAAAAGAGAAAGAGAGCGGAATGCAGAGTTGATTGTGTCCATGAATGGCAATACAACAACGATTAGGCACCCTGAAAGTTAGTAAATATATGTTGTTATGACGTATCTTTTGAAAATTAATCCATTTGTCTGTAAAATAACAGATTTTATGTATCAAGCATGTATCTATTTTTCAAATTGTCGTTCCGGAACAGAGAATTATTAGTTTTATTACTCGAATTGATTTTGAATGCGTATTACAGCATATTGGTTACCATAGAAGTTAAGACGTGTTAACACTGATATAAAACCTGTTACACTGTTTTCTAATTCTGAATTATAAGTTATTTACAACGAGTCTATAAAAATTATGTAGTCGTAATGAAACCGAGATTAGTTATTGTTTATTCATCAATACACAAATAAAACATCCCAGCTAGCCAGTGGTAAATCTGATAACAAAACAAAGACACTGTGTTATCAGCTTTTTATCGAGAATTAGTGATTATTACTTAAAGACCTAAATTAAAACAGAAACATTGTATTCTTTTCTAACCAGACGGTTCCCAGTCAACATGAGTCACATATCCGCAGATATTTCATCTAAATAACCATAAAAGCAATGGTTAGCAGAGTAGTTTTCGGTCCTAAAGAAATAGATCACTCTCATTAAGCAAGTATCAGGCTGTTTTCATCGAATTTTTAACTAAAGATGTCTTTAAAATGTACATACGTAATACGGTATAAATAATGTCATAGCTTTCTCTAGCTCGAAAGATATATTTATAAGTGTAAAGTTCTGTATTGAATTTTCAAAGAAGTGAGTAACTATGTACTTTGCACGCTGCTTGCCAGAGGCTGTGTGTATAAGGCCGTTCTTCGGCTTTAATATAGGTAAGTCGAAGGTCATTCGTGGGCAGAGGTTTTCAATCTAGGACTGAACAAACGACTACATGCAACACAATCATATTTATGGATAATTAACAGTATTTGAGATAGAATGACGGACAATATTACTACTCTCATATATTTCTTCGATGCCATCTTCAACCAACTACAGAATACGTATGTACTAGTTGATATGATGTGAAACGAAGAGATCTAGGTATAATTAGTGTATGGGTACTGAAAGACGAAACTGTGGTACGGAAAAATGAAACGTTTAGTACCAGTACCGTAAAATCGTCGAAAACTAGTATTACTCATCCAAAGTTAGTTTCACCCTTTTTGTATCTCATTTAAGTCACGTTGAGTATTTCCTTCTACCGTCACCCACTGATGGTTAACCAATAAGGAAATCCTAAGTTTCAGCCGATTAGGTAAATGTAAGTTTGAATTAAACGACACATATTGCACATCTGCAGTCATTAGGTTGTTTGGAGTATTGTTAACCAAGGTTTTCTCACCGATAAAATATGTTACGCGGGAACATTTCGGTGATATTGAGGTTGTCCTGCAATGTTTTAAATCCTGTGTTATGTTAGCTATTCTATAAAGTCATTTACTACTTGCGATTTCAGAAAGCTAAGTGCAGACTTAACAGTTGACATTTGATAAAGACAGTCAAAAACGGTTATTAACAAGTAGCTATTTTGGTAAGGTTTCTTGCTGTTTATGAAGTTCATGTTTCGGTTAGCTTTACAAATTTGGTAAAAATTTGTGTCACTTTTCTCTTAAGCCCTTCTCTCGTCATCTAAGGCCTATTTGCTTGTTGCAATCTTCTGTACAGTGTATCAAGTTTCTATGCTTTGTCTGAATAGCCTTCATTGGAAGTTTGATTCTTGAATCAAAAATTAATTTTAATTTTACATTAATCGACACACTTCTCTCAGTTCCATTTAACAAAGTTAAGCCATATAAACCACTAGTTTCTGTTCGCTCTGTTACTCTCTTTTCAAACACCTGTAGTCATTAGACAGTTTGGAGCTTCATAAACGAAGGTTTCCTCACCGGGAAAGTTTATGAGATTGCTTTAGTTTAAACAACACAGGATAGACTGTCGTACTTGTTTTTTAAGTGTAAACTATATTCCCTATACCTGTGTAGATGTACACAGAATTTAGCCATTTTACTGGAAAAATTGTAAATAGGATGAACAGAGTTTGAATGTATCTGGGGATGAATGATCAGATTTATATGAAATGGATAGTTCAGATAACTAATTTAACGTTTATGTGTATTCATTCGTCTAGAACCAGCCTCTCACTCTAACGAGCAACGCAAAAAGACATCGAAACACAAGACATGAAAACACAACTCAAGTGGTTGCGTGCGAGGCTACTTGTGAAAACTAGTTGCAATCTGGCCCATCATCTTAACTTGGGTAATAATTCGCAAACTAGGCTTGCGATGTGCAAGTGGAGGTACTTTAGAAGTAAGCTGATGTTGCTGAATCGGATCGCTAGAGAATGAAAAACTTATATAGTATTCCAGCGTTTACAGCGCGTTGCTAGTTTATTCAACAGCCTTAAAGCTTCTATGGGCACATAAAGATATAATTTGTACGAAACGTTTCCAACGGTAATAATGTTTCCTTTTCGAGCAGTCAGGATTTCAAACCTGATTGTACTAAGTGAATTAAAGATTCAAAAAATTTATTCACTAATCATAATTGCAAGATCTATTTTGAATATTTGCAGTAAACATTGTCAACCATTTTAGTTGTTAGTGAGATAATAAAAAAAGTCCCATTTTGTATTTTATAGTGAACCAACCTGTTTTCCACACATTTCATGCATTAATAGTTCAACGAAAAACAGAAATTTATCAGGACATCTTTTCTCTTGACTAAAAATGTTTGTCAAATAGGAGATTTTGTTTTGTTCAAATACGGCAACTGCATGAAGCGACTGAACGAAATTTGAGCTAAAAAGGAAAACAATAACTTTTTAAATCGTCAACAGCTTGGAAATATATATAAAAGCCTTATTTGATGCAAACGTTTGGAGAAAATTCTTAAAACACTTTGTTTTCTAGGATTTACGTCGAGGTTTGGTTGGTGTGATATTCTTGATTTAAATAGTAATAAACAGTGTGTTCAAAGCTGTAAAATTTTTTTCTGTCAAGGCTAACAGAACAGACCTATTGAGCTCCATATTTTCTACTATCAAGATGACGCTTATTTGCAATATAGCTGATGATTTCGTAAAGAATATTTCATGTGGAATCTAAAAGATGTTTAGAATGCACAGTTTAGAGAATTCATGCAGTCCATATGTTTTTTATTAATGCATTGGAATAATAAAAGCACAGCAGTTTATAAGAATTTAAGTCAAATCATTAACGTGGTATTATTATACAGCAGGCACTTTATAACAGCTGTAATGAAAAGTAGATGATCTAGAAAAATATAACATTTCCAATAAAAAGCAGAATAATAAGTTTGGCGCTTTCATGTTTGAAAATGAATAGGTGTAAAGTGTATGTTAATCCTTTACTTATAGAAAAAACATTTGCATTTTTCTAGTAAATGCTCCATTTGAACTAGGCTATGGCAAACACAAAACAATTTGATACTTGACATATGAGGAGTAAGGTATCTAACTGCGAGTTCAGTACTACTCGGATTATTTTATTTAGAGACACTGCGGTTATAATTATTGACATGGGGTTACCAACTAATAAAATGTTATTTCATTGAATCTACATGGTCAAGAATTCTGTTCTCCATATTTATGTATCCTGTAGTTTTGCAAGAGCTTAATTACGATAGAAACGGTTCACTAATTTCATTATTACTTTCATTTTGCGGTCAAACAACAACAACAAAGAGAAGACCCGTATGTATTGAATAATCATGGTAACTTTATATGAAGTATGAGAAAAACATTACGAAGAAAGTTTATCATACAATTTTAATGACTGGAAATTTTTATTTTGTCTTTTATTGCAGATCAAAAGGATATTAAACAGTTTACATTTGATTATTCATATTGGTAAGTTATTTTAGAGTAGTAAAGATTCTCATACGTGAGATATGACGCTCATTACTCTAAAACACCAATGACGAGTAGTCATACCACTTTAATGCATCAATTAGTTAAGTATAGTTAGTGACAAAGCTCCGGTCTCTTGGTTTACCATTATAAACACATGTACCCTGTCAGAAGTGCTGTATTTGAGATGCTGCTAACCCTAGTTATGATTTTTTTTATTAACCCTATGTTTTACACTAGTAGAAGTTTTATCTCAGATTTTCGGCTACCATAAATTATAAATCATGTCTGATCAAATAATGTTCACTTGTTTTCCAAATCTCACCTCTCGCCTTATGTAAATTTCACTTGTATTAGCTGCGGCAGGTTCCCGAAACTGTATCAGAGCACGATATTATTGCTGCCAGATCAGACTTATATGGTCAGTTGCAAAAAGTAACTGTTATAGAGGAAAATTTAGTATTTGTCTTGATATTCCCAATTTAAGAAATTATGTTATTTTACAATATAGATAGTTAACCAGATTGTGGGTTTCTATTGATAACTGATAATATCTAGTGACAAATCGGTGAAACAAATCATACTATAATAAAATTTAACATAACTTGAAAACATCTTAAATTGCATTTTGTTCTCAAGTTTCGGAGACTTTACTTTCACCGTTGAAAAAATAAGAATCACTCCCAAAAAAGGCTAACAAAGATGATCATTTCTCTTTACACTATATCAAAAGTCAGATTTCAGTGCTTCAAACTCCAAATAAAACATATGGCTACTGTTTGTAGATTCTGTGGGTAGGTTTTATTATGAATTTCTATCTCCTAAAGTCTGTAACATCCTACGAAAAAGCTGAACCGGAAGCTTAGAATAGATCACAAATCTGTTTCAATCTAAATATTTTTGTATCTTTGTTGAAGAGATGGACTCCACTTTTTCACAACACCACAGAACCTAGACAATTTAATCCTCTGTGATGAGCGGACTTCTATTTTACAACCAATATGTGCTTACTGACATACCATAAATATATAACAACTCTTCTACTCGCTGAAACTATCTGGATCTTATAGAATTATTAGTTAAGTGGTTTCAATCAGTCATCAATTTTCACCTTAATAACCTAGTTTAGTTTTTAATGAAAAAGCTAAAATCCGTCACTAGACTTTAGACAACTCTATATGGTCTCTTGGTGTTTGTTTAGCACTTTTTTAGTGCAATATGTTAATTTCCCGATCTAATTAAAGCAGCTATCCGTGGTCACGAATCAATGACGTTGAAAATCGACTCAGTCTAAATTATAGAGAATAGTTAAACTGATAAACGCAACAGCCAGGACTTTCCAGAGTCCTTCAATATTTTATCGAATGGTTTGGTTTCCAACACGTTAACTAAAAATACGAACCTATTATTGTACGACAAGCTCCTTGTAAAGAGAGGTACCATAAATCGTAATAATTCTGGATTGCGTTTCGCATCACTAGCAGAAAGGTCCTACTTCAGATTATCCGTCATTCTGTATTACTTTCTTATCTATTTATACCTGTTACCCTTAGAGAAACGCAGGCTGCTGACTAGAATTCTCTAGTCAACTTTGTCCTCGGTTCTCCTTTAAAGTTGCTGCCACTTGGTGTTTATTATTTTGGCGTTTATCAACAATTCTTGACGCAGTGCTTTCCTCAGTTTTACTCTTCGCCTTTCGCCTTAAGGATTCCTTTTTATGACTTTTCTTGCCACTCGTACATATGATATATTTATTTCTGATTTCCAGATGAACCATTTTTGTCAGGGTGTGTTCACTAAATGCTTTTGACTTGGATACTATATTTTCATTAAACTTATGATTTTCCTTCTCCCATCATTTGTAAAACGTTCATGTTCACGAATTCCTGATTTGTCTTCATGCGAAATTGAATATTACACAAATGTAAGAAAATCGTGCATAGTTTACTGGGAAATTATTTAGCCTTATCTCACCTCTTCCTGAATGTTTCAATGTCCTAGGTCACACGATGGTTTTAAAACTGAAGCTGGTGGTGTACTGGTACCGGATGGAAAAAATTCAACATATATCAGCCAACAACGTGTTTTTGATGATTTGGGTCGTGGTTTACTCGAAAACGCATTCGGTGGATATTCCTGTTCATTATTCGCCTATGGACAAACAGGTTCTGGAAAGTCTTTTTCCATGATTGGCTATGGACCTAATAGGTAAAATATATAGTTTGATAGTTAAACTGAATTATCAGAGGCATTGTACCAATCATATGTGAGGAGCTATTTGACAAGATTGGCAAGAATAAAGATCCAGATAAAGTAAAAATTAATAATTTATATTTTATATATATATTTACTAAATACTTTTTACTGAGTGTTGAGTAAACTAAATAAGATTTACTTCCTGGTTTAGAACTACGGAAGTACTTTTATTTGACTTCTGTGTGTCACTGACAACCACAAAAGGTTAAAAGTGTCTCGTAAATGGATCTAACATATGATAATTGGGTCAAATTAATCTTATGTCCGCAAGATAGAATTCCAAAGTAATCAAGAGACTAAATAAAATTGGTTTTCAGTTTAACTGAAGTTGATATTTAATCGTAATTACATAATCTATTATCTTTGAATTCAATGATGTTTTCATCTTGAATAAATCAAAATCAATTCTTTTATCTATTGCAATAACTGTTTGCTTTGTCAAAAAATATCTAACGTCTATAATTTTTTAATTAAACAGAAATTTCAAGTTACCTTAACTATGATGGAAATATATAACGAACAAATACGTGATTTATTAGCAAGAGATAAATCGCCTCAAACGAATTTACAAGTTAGACAATCACCAGTTCAAGGATTCTATGTGCAAGGTTTAACACAGGTACCAGTTGGATCATATGGTGAAATCGAACAAAGAATGAGTCAAGGTATATAAATCATCAATTTAGATTTATAAGTTAACTTTATATTTTATAGTGATACAGGAGTTTTCAGCAATATGTTTTATGTCCATTGTTTTGGTATTGGTGAAAAGGGATTCTGATGTAGTTTTCCTCTTATAATCTGTTGAGTAACTTTGTCAAATAGATTTGTTGATAGCGTTTTATTGCGAGACCGGATCAGAAACCATGCAAACAACATTTTTTAATGATCTGAATAAGTTGGTGGGGGGGGGCTAGTAAGTAAATTAAGCTTAAATTACTAGGTTTCTACTTTTGTTTACCAGTACTGTCACTCCAAAGTAGTTGGAAGTATTAATTCTACTTATCCGAGATTAAAATGAAAGCCATCGATGTGAGAACTAGAACAAACTAAATGAGAGAACATTGATGTAAAGTAATCATAGATTGACTTCAGTTGGGCAACTCGTGAAAACCAGGTAGTATTGGACAGCTGTTTCGTTCTAGTTTGGGACAGTATAGCTCCAATCATCTCCACAACTCTTATGCTAGAATATCTTACCACGAGTTATATCCTTTTCAGATATCAATCTTCTAAACTGTCATATTTGTTCGAGTTGGTAAAATCTTCTCATATGATCCTCACTACTAAATTTTGTTTGATTAAGTCATCCCTTTTCTCCTGCAGTGTGTTTAAATTATATGGTGCTAATCCAGCTGCCTAAATCTTGATATTTAAAAGAATTATACAGCAAAATTATTTCTCCTGTTTCTAAGGAGAACTTCATCAACGATTTAACCAGTTTACCGTTTTCGTCCTTTCCATTTATCTTCTCTACAATTCTTGTGTCTAATTTTCAGACATACATGATCACTATGAGTAACTTGCAAATGGCTTTGTTACTCAGGTGTTCATATTGTAAGAACGAATATATTTACATTCAAAAACTAAATTCATTATTCTTACAACTATAAAATAGCCTAAGATAATTTAGCCTATTTCCTTTTTACCATTCTGATTCTTAAGCATTTCATTCATTTTACATTGCTGAACTAAAGTATATTTTAGTGATGTGCTTGGACTTATTTGATGCTCGTCACGTTTACGTATTAATCTATACTCATTTCTTTCAAATAACTGTCACAGTGTCTTATAAGCGTTAATAAACCTCATTTTGATAAGTCTTTACCAGTAAGTTAAACAAGTAAATCAGTATACGATTACAAAATCAAAAGGAACAAATTTTTTCAAGCATTTGATTCTAACATTGAATAGCTTGTGATGTGAACGTACAATCTTCCAGGTTTATCATATTTTGGCCGGTGATCGTTCAAAGCAAAAGCTTAGATTGCTGTTTAATTTACTAATTATGGAAACGTTTAGAACAAAATTGAAAGCTACTTTAGCAAAAATTATAAGCTATTTGATTGGTAAATTTCATTCACTGTATAATTAGCATTCATAACCAAACAACTTAATATATATTGTTTAATAACTGCATGAGTAGATTCTTATGATCAAATGAAAATCTCAAATAACAAAGCATCAACTATTAGGATTTAGTTAGACTTAGACAAATGCATTTTATACTTGACTGTTATCCATATCCGAAGTAATAAACTAGCATTCAATAATGCTATTAGAAAATTAAATTTCCGAATTAATTCCGAGACTTCTATAGAGATATGACAAGGAGACAATAATTACCAGTGGTAATGGGTGGTGGTTATGCAATATCGAAGAATGACTGGAGATAGAAATGTAAACCAATGGGTGTTGACCGAGTGATCTAAAAAGTAAGTGGTCACTGTAGGACCTACAGATCATGGGTTCGATTACTGGCAGGGTTTTGGATGAATAACTGTGAGTGAGCCAATGTTAAAACTGAATAAATAGCCAGTTTTCCGCGGTTTTAAATGGCTGCCTAATGCAAGTCGATTTGTGATGTAAGACTACAGAATGTACTATTAGTTAACTGTGTTTTCGTGCTGTATTGAAAAAGTTGACAAAACTTGGTCTCATTAACAGTGATAAACTATAAAGAAGGAATGAATTAATTTTCTTTCCATCGTTACATATGTTGAAAAATTCATTTAAAATAAGAACGAAAACAATTGTTTCCCCTAACAACCTGGTTTTAAGAACCTGTTTATTTTTCATTCATCGAGAAACTCTAAACAAAAATGCGTTTGTTTTTTGGTAAGCATTTTTATGGAATAATAACTGAAAAGGTCTAAATTGGTTGCTCGCTTATTAGTTCAGAATATGTTATTTAGATGAAACTTACAAGGAAAACAATAGATTTTAAATATAAGGTGATGAAGAGAGATGGGATAAGAGATGGGTGTTTCTTTAATGCTTCATATTGTGGTCTAAGTTTTGTACTTACGGTGTAATAGATAAATACTGCATGATAGACGTCTTCTTGGCTTCTCTTTTTTGGACAGATTAGACTATTGTTTTTTTCTTAAGATTTTGTATTTTATTACTAAGCATCAATACTTACAACAAGCTCGGTTCTGCATCCAACTTACAATGTCATCCAGAATGTTACAAACGAGGACCTGAATAGAGAAGTGGCTCGAGATTCGCATATGGTGTTATTCTTTGATTAAATACAAACTTATATTGATATCAAATTAGAGATTATAACAAGTTGCTCCTCTAGTACTTAATTACATCTTCTTTCATCAGAAATACTGTCCAAAATGCATTCATGATTTCAATTCTGATTAATCGGAAAATCTTGAGCCCATCTAGAACCAAAACCGTAAATAAAGGCACGAGAATGGATGCCGATTTGCTAGGTCGAATCATAGTGTGTTCACGCTAAATTTAAATGTGTGTGAAGTTTGGATTACGAAGAGTAGACCGATTTCCTGAACCAGTTCTAAAGTGAGTCCCTAAAATCAAGTGCCAGGGAAAGGCTTGGCACGGAAGGTCAGCAATAAGAATTCTAAGAGGATTGAGACAATAAAAGGTGTCTATGAGTAAGTGTTTTCTATGTGATCTTAATGTGTAATTGGTATAGACTACACTAACAGAGAACATTACATACTTCACTATCTTTGAAGAAAATAAATTTAGCTCAACATGAAAAGAAAGCAGTCATCTTAAAATTGATTTAATCCTGGATAATTTAACTTCAGTTCATCTGATCATAGATATACTTGTTGGATTTATATATATATTGCCAAACACATAGCTGAAACTTTGCCTTTGTGACGTTGCATATAAGTTTTCAAGGACGTATACTAAGGTTTATCGAGGCCTTGATCATACGGAAATTTAAACCTCCTCTATGAATTCAAAAACATTTTGTCCTCATCCTAAACCCATCTTGGCAATATAGTTTTATCATCCACAGTGATGAGTTTGCCATAGCTTTCCACATTATTTTGTAGCTTATTTTTGTGCCGTCATTGCTCCATTTGTCCAACTGACCTTGAGCGAAATGTATTACGCTAATATATCACATAGTTCTGATAATCTTCGATTAATTATTATACTATCCAAATTTATCAAAGGATCTAACCTATTATGTTTCATTGAGACTAAAGAATAAGTAACAAATAACCTATCATCTAAGAAAGCGTCACCAAAACTGAATGATTAGAGAAAGATGTTAATGCCGGAAGATTTCGTTCAGCATTCACGATTGCCGATTCTGTACACTATATAATTACTTTCCTTCGAAAGAGGGGATGAATATCATGAAAAGATAAGCAATAACATAGATAATTGAACTCTTAGAGATTATCTTCAAATAACTGACAGTCCTAAAGTTATTGAAATTGACATTGAGTTGAATGAGAACTAGATGGGGAAGTTTTCACTCAATGCTTTGATCTTGCGATCCCTATAGGATTATTTCTGTGCTCATATCTCAATATTTGTGGATCCAATGTGGATCACGAAAGCAGCTGATCCAATGGAACAAATGGTAGCATTTTCGAAACGGGCAAATAAACTATACTACTTATAAGTTGTTAAGTAGTACGAGCACTATGTCTACTTAGTTATGACGGAATATATGGATGTTTTATTTTTTTAAATAAAATAAGCATTTAACACAGCTAAGAATGTAATATATACGCAGTGAAGCAGAAAAGATGTTACTTGAGTAAAAATATAACTAAAAGATAGGGATCGTATGATTGTAAAATGCAAGGAGTCGATTGTTGGATGTTCGTATATGTCACATTTTTACATTCACTTGAATCGAGATAAAATTTGGTAGCATTTTAGCTTTTTTATTTCCACACATTTAACGCATACAAGTAACAGTTGGTTTTGATACAGTTTTAAGAGGGTGGTGTCATTGAATTTAATGGTATTCAAGAAATACGATTTTCCATGTAGCGAATTTCATCTTAACTAATCAACTGTAACATAAATGCAGTACTCTGAACAATCATCCTTTTTAAATAGGTCATTTTCGCATGACATGGCAAATCGAATAAAGATAGGAATTTAAACTGTTGAATGCGAACTCAGTAGTGTGAAGGTTAAGCTCACTGATCCATGATGGTGCCATAGTTGGGTGCATTTGAACAGTTGCATAATGGAACGAGACATCTGTCGAGTTCTTGCTAGCTTACACAGACTGTCCAACGAAATTCAGTCTGTGATGTGAAACTGTAGACTTTATTTAGGTTCTTAGTCTGTCTAATTCACAAATTAATACTGCTAAAAACGTTGTTTCAATAACAAACAAGGATTTACGTTGGTAATTTGAAAATTTGTTCATGCACAAGAATTACTGTAATTTAATAATATTATATACATTGGTGGGGAAAGAAAATTTTGTCATTGGTTTAGAAACAACTGCTTCTATATTAGGCATTAGTGTTGGTGTTTTAAAAGGAAATTATATATATAAAATTCTCAAGAGTCAATACGAAAATAACTCCAAGGTTTCAGTATGCGATTTGGTCAGGGCTTCACTAAAACAACCGAAATCCAAATTAATGAGTATAGTTAGGCTCACAAAATAACTGTCTACTAAAACAATTGAACAATTTTCGTTCAAATTTAGATTTTTACAAAAGATCGGTTAAACTTAAATTGTCTTCAATAGTTTTACAACAATATTTTCATGTTATTTTTATAGGTACTGCGCGTAGAACTGTAGCGGCAACAAATATGAATGAAACTAGTAGCAGAGCTCATACTATTATTACGATAACATTTGATCAACTTATTGGTTGTGAAGAGTCAAAAATATCAAGAAAACGTTCAGTAATAAATTTAGTTGATTTAGCAGGTTAGTTTCGTTTTCTGAGCTGAGGAACAAAATCTCACTGTAGTCAACTGTCTCTCCAGCTACTTGACTGCTTTTCCACTTACTGAAATGTTTGATTATCAGTAAACATATTCATGATCTACCGAGAGAAATTTTAGAAAAATTATATAATTGACTTAAATAAACCCCAAAACGATTCTTGTAAATCATTTATCATCGTTTTGCCAGTCTTCATATCATTTTTAGTATGATGGTTTTGTGCAGAATTTCAAGTTAAATGGTTTTTATAGTGGATTAACTTCGGACAATTCAAATAAGGGTAAGAACTAGACTCTTGAGCAGCGATCAACCATAGCCTTTCTGCAAACTGAATCCAGGACTTTTGGTTTCAAGGCTAACACCAAACCACTAGATCATTTGGTGTAATTCTAATGATTTACTTTTATAAGATGGCCGGTTGCCACTGGATACGGTTTTTCACTGGAGCTCTATGGATGAACTATCGAAATCGTTTTTATATTGTTTGTTCTATCGACCTTGATTCACAAGCTTATTTATTGATAAAGTGGATTTACTGTTATTCAATTCTTGTAATGAATTTTACTTGAATGAATCAAGTGATTTTGGATTCATACAACCTAGTAACTAAAAAACAGAATCTTATAGGCTTCGTTTATTTTTCCAGAATATTTGTAAGCAGTTATTACTTAACTTTTACAAATGAAACATGATATGTTGAAATTGAAAAATCTTTAAAAGGCTGTCAATAGGTTAATAAACAAATATGTGAGTGAATTTATGTAGATGTTTCTTTGAAATAAACAAGTTTGAAGTGGATTAAACAAACTTGTTTTTTTCTCCTGAGGTTCTGAACGAGCTGAAAGCACAGGAGCAACTGGTGACCGTTTAAAAGAAGGTGCGAAAATCAATCGTTCGTTATCAGCACTGGGTAATGTGATATCTGTAAGTATTTGTTGGCAGATCATTATTAGAAATTTATGGTTGTTTTGTTGAGCTATATTTGTTTTGAATACAGATTTTTGTTTTATTATAGGCATTAGCCGAAAATAAGAAGGTTATTCCTTATCGTGACTCAATACTTACTAAACTACTACAAAACGCTCTAGGTGGAAATAGGTAAGTTTAATTATCTGTAATCAATCTATTGATGCAGTTTTATGGGCTTTATGAACATTTTAAAGTGACTAATATATTTAAAAAATAATTAACCTTTAAGGTTGGATCATAACTGAACTGTTATTTCTTCTTAGTTTTGCACTTTTTCAACATGATATTGGATCTAAGAATCACTAAACCATGTTATTTTTGGATTGCTGATTCTCATAAATGGTCGCATAAATCAATGGAATGAACCTTCCATCATGAGTCATGTGTTAGACGATTTTTTCCAGTTATTCATCGTTGCATATTATTGCTGAACATTCATTTCTCATGATAAATTCCTCAACACTTTGGAAGTTAGAAATTTATTGATGAAAAACTTGAAGTTAACTAGCGCTTATTTTTAAAAGTTCAATCAATAAGCCTACTGTAAAAACTGATCTTATAAATTCGGAACAGGATAAATTGAATGGTTACAGAAAAGTATATCTATCTCATATACCTATTAAAAACGTGTTTTCGTAAACAATGATTTTTCAGATACCGTGAGATAATCATTAATTACTTTATATGGAAAGGAAAGTTCGGCACCACTGAACATGTGCAGTCTATCAATAATTTATACGATACTTAATATTTTTCTATGCGATAATATTTACATAGACAGTTTTGAGATGGTGGAGAAAATTTGTAGCTCAGGTGGATGATTGTGGTCGTGTTTCATTCTCTGAGTTGGATGTTTTGGTTTTGAAGCTTTCATTGTTCTTCTGAACAACATCATCAGCACAAACTTCAGATAGAAGTGAAGTATTCAAATTTCTCCATGTTTGACCCGTAGCCTGTTCTGTTAACCTCAATCTGGATTGGTTGCTGTTGACCTTAAGTCTGTCGTTTTTTGCACCTTTGTTTTGATTGTATCTCCCTTTTGATCTGTTTCTTGATCTTATGTCACGTAAAAGTTTTCTGATTGGTTGATAAATTGGGTCAATCTCAATGATATCCTTCGACGTGACAGTCTTACTAACTTCGATAGAGTCAAGCTTAACTAAAGAAACTCTTTCCCTGCTCATCACTAACGACGAAAATCCGCAAAAATATTCAAAGCTTCAGAGTCAAAGTCTGCTGGAACTCATCGATCTATGCTTAACAACGAATTTTCAATTCAACGAAAGAGTCGACAAGCAAATGAAAGGAATACCAGTAGGATCCCCAATACCAGGACTCATTGAGGAAGCTGTAATGCAGAGACTAGAAGTATCGGTTTTGCCAGTGATCAAGCCATAATGTGGGTTCGCTATGTAGACGACACATTCGTCATTATCAAAAGGAACGAGATGGAGAACATCTACAATGTGATCAACAACGTCTTTGATGACAGCAAATTCACCATGGAAAAGGAATCGAACAACATTCCTGGATGTACTAATCACCAGAACTAATACAGGAAAACTGGAAACTTAGGCATTTCGGAAACCAACCCACACAGATCTAATTCTCCACTACGCTTGAAACAACCCAAGAACCCACAAAATCAACTGCATACAAACTTTGTTCAAGAGAGGTAAGACACGCTTCAGCACGTATGAAGAACAAGAAAACGAGGAAAAACATCTTATGACTATCTTCCAAAAGAACGGCTACCCACGCAACTTAAACATAAAACATCAATTGAAATCGTCAACAGAAGCGAAATCAAGTACAGGAACCAACAAACGGATCATCCTAACACATATAAAAGACATGTTGGAGCATACAGAACGACTACTGAAGCCATTTGGCATAGGTGTGGCACACTAACAAAATCACTTCAATCAATCCTACTTAAAGCAAAGGACAAACTGACAAAGGAAGAGAAACCAAATATCATCTACAAAATAACTTGATCAGACTGTGAAAAACACTACATAGGACAGAGTGGACGGCATCTTCAGCTTCGTTTACGTGAACATCAATTAGCAGTCAAACACAACGACAATTCTTTTCTTGTATCAATACACACAGAAAATTATGGACATACATTTGATTGAAACAGTGCGGAAATACTGGGTAGGGGGAGGCCAAAGAACACAAGAGAATTTTTAGAAGCTTGGCACTCAGGTCAATCAGCAAACACTAAACATCGATATTGATCCAATTCATCAATCAGTCTGAAAAATAAGAAAAACATAGGATCAAGAAACTGATCAAAAAGGAGTACAATCAAAATAAAGGTGCAGACAACGATAGTTTTAAGGTCAATAACAACCAACTAAGATCGAGGTAAACAGCATAATCTAAGGGTTATACGCGAAGAGTTCTGAATACTTCATTTTATACCTGAAGTTTGTGCTGATGATGTTGTTCAGAAGAACAATGAAAGCTCCACAACCGAAGCGTCCAGTTCTGAGAACGAAACCCCACCATAGAATTCATCTCAGTTGGACCACTATTAAAAACCAGGGGACACTGAACAAGATCACCGTCAGCGTTGCTGTGGACCCCCTATGAGGACGAAACAGATGTTTATTGTTTCTTGTCATAAAATAGAGTCTTCCAAATGTATTTATCACTGTCTCTTTCTATACGTGTAGTAAAATCAGGACAGAAGCACTGAAATAAGTAATAAACTGACTTTTAATAATCATTAAACGTTATAATTATAAAGTATCTACATAGCGATAGGAATTTGAATGTTATGATTTATTCTATCTTATGTAAGTTCCTAATTTTCTATTTTAATACTGTGTAATGTATTATTTAAAACAATTAGTAAAACGGTTATGATTGCAGCAATATCTCCAGCAGATGTTTATTATGATGAAACATTATCAACTTTACGTTACGCAGATCGAGCCAAACAGATTAAAAATACAGTTTTGATTAATGAAGATCCAATGGAATCATTAATTCGTGACTTAAAAGTAAGTGCATTTTCATAACTGAAATCTGTCTACAGGTGTGACAAATAAACAGACAAGTTATGATATGCCGGATAAAAAGTAAAACCAATAACGAGACCCTAATTTATTGGTACTCAAGTGATATTATAAATATCATTCAACAACTCCTAGTTCAACTGACTTTTAATCATGTTTGTTTTTGCGTTCAATTCAAGGTTGTCATTATATCAAAGGAAAAACATTCTTTTCGCCAGAACTCTTGTTTCCATTTCCAGTTTCAGTCAAGAATCCGGTCTCGTGAAAATTGTCACGTAGCCGCATTGTACCAACGCTTTTAATAAAATCTTAACATTCTTTTCCGAAAAGCCAAGTATCCTTTTCAGTGATAGCTAAGAAAGGATGCATATTAGCCAATTATTTCAGTATAGAACGTTATTTGAAACAGTTCACATAAATATGGTTATTAAGTACAAGATATATTACAGTTGAGAACAACTATTTATTGTATCAGAGACTATAGTGGGAAACATTGTACTTGTGAAAGCATATTTCTGAGACTAAAACATACGTCAGCAAGATCTTATTTACTTACTTACTTACTTACGCCTGTTAACCACAATAGAGCATAGGCCGCTCACCAGTTTTCTCCAACCAACTCTGTCCTGGGCTTCCCTTTCCAGTTCTGTCCAATGTTTGTTAATTCCCCTCATATCTTTCTCTATTTCTCGGCGTAGTGTGTTCCTTGGCCTTCCTCTTTTCCTTTTGCCTTCAGGGTTCCATGTGAGGGCTTGTCTCGTGAAGCAGTTAGGTGCTTTTCGTAGTGTGTGTCCTATCCACTTCCACCGCTTCTTCCTGATTTCCTCCTCCACTGGAATCTGACTTGTTCTCTCCCACAGTTCGTTGTTGCTGATGGTTTCTGGCCAACGAATCCGAAGTATTCTGCGTAGACAGCTGTTAATAAACACTTGTATCTTCTGAATGATGGCTTTGGTAGTTCTCAATGTTTCCGCTCCATACAGTAGAACTGTCTTGACATTTGTATTGAAAATCCTGATTTTGGTTTTGGTTGAAAGTTGTTTGCAGTTCCAGATATTTTTCAATTGTTGAAATGCAGCCCTCGCTTTGCCAATCCGCGCCTTCACATCTGCATCGGATCCACCTTGGTTGTCGATGATGCTGACCAGATATGTAAAGTTGTTAACGTCCTCGAAAGCATCTCCATCAAGCGTGATTTGGTTGGTGCATGTTGTGTTGCATCGGAGAATTTTGCTTTTTCCTTTATGTATGTTGAGACCTACTGCTGCTGAGGTGGCTGCTACACTGGTTGTCTTCTCTTGCATTTGTTGTTGCGTGTGAGACAGAAGAGCCAGGTCATCTGCGAAGTCCAGATCGTCCAGCTGCGTCCTAACTGTCCAGTTGATTCCGTGCTTCCCTCCAGACGTCGACGTCTTCATAATCCAGTCGATGACCAGGAGAAAGAGAAAGGGTGAGAGTAAGCAACCTTGCTTGACACCGGTCTTCACCTCGAAAGAGTCTGTCAGCTGACCTCCGTGCACGATTTTGCAGTTGAATCCATCATAAGAATTCCGTATGATGTTGACTATTTTCTCAGGTACACCGTAGTGTCGAAGAAGCCTCCACAGTGTTTTCCTATCCACGCTATCGAATGCTTTCTCGTAGTCAATGAAGTTGATGTAGAGTGGTGAGTTCCATTCAATTGATTGTTCCACAATGATCCGTAATGTAGCTATTTGGTCAGTACACGATCGATCCTTACGAAATCAGGCCTGTTGATCTCGAAGTTGGGCGTCTACGAAGTCGTTCATTCTGTTTAACAATACTCTGTTGAAGACTTTGCCTGGTATTGAAAGAAGAGTGATGCCTCTGTAGTTCTCACACTTGCTGAGGTCGCCTTTCTTTGGTATTTTGATCAGGTATCCTTCTTTCCAATCTCATGGTACTTGTTCCTCGTCCCAAATCTTCTTGAAGAGGATGTAAAATATTTTTGCAGTTGCTTCTACATCTGCTTTCATTGCCTCTGCTGGAATGTTGTCTGGTCCTGCTGCTTTGCCGCTCTTGATTTGTCTGATGGCCATACTGATCTCCTCAATCGTAGGTGCGCCAATATTAATTGGGAGGTCCTTGGATGCTGCTTCGATGTTGGGTGGGTTCAGTGGAGCTGGTCGATTCAATAGTTCCTTAAAGTGCTCTACCCACCTATTTCGCTGTTCGTCAGTGTTGCTGATTATTTTCCCTTCCTTGCTTTTCACTGGTCGTTCTGGTTTACGATAGTTCCCGGCGAGCTTCTTTGTTGTTTCGTACAATTGTCTCATGTTTCCTTCTCTTGCAGCCTTTTCCGCCGTCATTGCTAGATCTTCCACATATTTTCGTTTGTCAGCTCTGATGCTCTTCTTCACTTCCCTGTTTGCTTCTGTATACTCGGCTTGCGCCTTAACTTTCTCTGCTCTTGTTCGGCTGACATTCACTTCTGCCTTCTTGTTCCTCCTTTCTTCAATTTTTTCAAGAGTACCAACAGAGATCCATTCCTTGTGATGGTGCTTCTTGCGACCAAGGACCTCCTGACATGTTGAAGTGATTGCCTCCTTAATCCCTTTCCAATTGTTCTCCAATGTTGCTTCCTCTCCATTGAGTAGATCCTGAAAGGCCTGGAACCTATTGGTGAGGGCTATCTTGAATTCGTTGAGTTTTACGGTATCCCGAAGAAAGGCGGTATTAAACTTCTGTGATATTGTCTGCCCCGTTGTCCAGTGCTTCTTTAGCTTCAGTTTCATTTTGGCGATCAGCAAGTGGTGATCTGAAGCTATATCAGCTCCTCTCTTGGTTCTCACATCCTCCATGGTCATTCTGAACTTTTTGTTGATACAGATATGGTCAATTTGGTTTTGAGTAGTGTGGTCCGGTGAAATCCATGTGGATTGTGATGAGTTTGTGCCGGAATATTGTGCCACCGATGACCAGTTTGTTGAAGGCACATAGGTTTGCAAATCTCTCACCGTTTTCGTTCCTTTCTCCCAGTCCATGTCGTCCCATGATGTCTTCATATCCAGTGTTGTCCATGCCAACCTTGGCATTTAGGTCTCCCATAAGAATCGTCAAATCCTTTGGTGAACATTTATCGACGATTGATTGCAGCCTTTCATAGAATTGATCTTTAACGTCGTCATTGTAGTCATTGGTAGGTGCATAACATTGGATGACGTTCATTGTAATGTCCTCTTTCTTTGTTTTGATGGATGCTTTGATGATCCTAGGTCCATGAGATTCCCATCCTATCAGTGCCTTTTGTGCATGTTTGGACAGCATCAGTGCAACTCCTTGTGTATGTGAAGCGTTTTCCTCTTCATGACCAGAGTATAACAGCAGTTCCCCTGAAGCTAGTCTCAGTCGTCCTACCTGTTTCACTGATGCCGAGCACCTCGAGGTTGTATCTTTTCATTTCTGAAGCAACTTGAAATAGTCTTCCAGTCTCCCACAATGTACGAACGTTCCATGTACCTAAAAAAATGGTTGCTGTGGTTGTCAGAAGAGGCATCGGCCCCGTGACTTCCGAGGGAACTCGGCTTTCATCACGCGACATCATAATTCTTTTTCCAACGCCCAGGGCAGAGTTAAAATGGTTTGAATTATTTTTTCTGGTTAGCGTTTTTTTGGCAAGTGAAATTTCAACGGAATGGGGTCGCCAACCCCATGTCCAACCCTCTTCCTTTATCCGGGCTTGGGACCGGCAGTAGCCACTAAGGTTCTACTGGCGGAGTTAAGATCTTATTTACTGAACTTTATTGACATACCCCGTACTTATCGTTTTATGGAAAAAGTGAAATTATGAACAGAATCCGGTTCATAGAAGTGATCACCTCCAAACGCTACTGCATAGGTTGGAATATGAAGGCCAGGAAAAGAATATGGAGTTATTTCAATAGTCCTACTGTACTGTAATCTTAAGTGTTGCAGTTATTCTTTGATCAGCGTTTAGAACTAACTTACTCATGTCTGTTCCAAATTAGTTCACTCTTTAGGTCTCAAATCAACCACAATTAAAAGCAATTTGATAGAAACTTTCGCATAATTGATGTCTCCAGTTGAAATTTGGGTTATCTTGCTGCTATCACACTATAAGAATCATGAATCTCTAAATCAGAAGTGTGAATTAGCGTCTAGTAAACAAACGGTAAAACAATCTTAGACTACACAAGCTACTTGTGGTTTAATATTTATTTTTAGATGCTAGCTGATGGATGCAAATTTGCACTTCTAATAAATTGATAATACTAACCGTAAAATTTCAAATAATAAAACAAATTAGGGAAAATCATAGATTTTACGAAGATAAAACCATTTTTTATATTTTCAGGCAGAAAATGAACGTCTGAAGAAAGCTTTGAACTCTACTGAATTACCTTCATCAGTTGTTGTAAAAGATCTAACACCGAAAGGTAGATTTACTTTGCTTCATGATTATGTATACAATTCTATGATTGTTCTTCAATAGAAATAGAGGATCTTAAAAACCGAATGCGTAAAGAAATAATGGAACAGATGGAAATTAATCTTGCTGCAATGGAAGCCCAGAACCAAGCTGCATTTGAAGAGAAAGTAAGTAATTTATAGTGGTAATATCTTCCTTAACTTGTTTCCATACAAACAACGTTAATTCAATAATGACTGAATTATTAATTATCTGTCATTAATTTAGTCATGAATAACTGAAAGCCTAGTAAAGATACATCTAAACCTAAATAGTCGTACAACAGCAGTACAATCGAATGAAATTAATAAGAATAATGAGGAAGTTGAAATAATATAGTAGCAATTATAAATGAACCACTAGTTATTGAGAATATAGTTACAAAGACAGAGAAAATGTGTTTATGAAAGAATATTGTGGTCGAAATGTAGAGGAACATAAAGAATGGTTGCATTCCTGCGATTATTATCAGTTGTAGGTCTTTCCATCCAACATTTTTAACTATCAGTCGTAGTTGTCGCCCAGATTCCAACTAGGCAGTCCGTATGTACCAATATGTTATGTAGTTATTCATTGCGTGATATGCAATAATGTTTCCTTGATATGAGATGGAAACATTTATTTTTGCACGAGTAGATGGTAGACATCCTTCGAACTGTGCTGCCAAACTCGTAGATAAAAAAGGTCATAAAATTATTAGCAGAGGTGGATTGTGGCTAGCAGCAGAATCCAAGATGCACCTTTCATCCTATTTAGAACTCGTCAAGTGGATGTTCATGTATCACAGTGTTGAGGTTCACTCCGAGACTCAAATCTAGGTTCGTTCTAGAGGACAGGAGATGTTTATCGTCTACTTGTGTATAAATAAATATTCCTAACAAGTATGTCTGTGGTCAGATTGATCGAAATGTATCATGCTAATATATTACATAGTTCTGATAACCTCGTCTTCTTATTGCATTATCTCAGTTTAAATTTCGTTGTTTTTTCCACAAACAAATGCAAGTTAGCAAGTTTATTTCATTTCGGAATATTTAACGACTTGTTACTTAGCAAGTAAGAATGGTACATTGTTTGGAAGATGATTAATTGTAATGTAGTTTAAATCAAAGAGTATTCACAGAAAATTTAAGAGATGAATGACAATTAATGACGTTCATATTATAATATAATCTGATATAAACTGTCTTAAGAATATTATATGATTTAAATTTTCGATATGACAAATTAAAGTAATGCCTCGTACTCATTTTATAGAACACAGACATACATTTAAGCGTCCAAAAATTGTTGTTTTCCTCGACATTAGGGAGACGTTTGGATCTGTTGATCGTGAGGTGTTTGTCATTAAACGGTGTACCGGAGAGGTATATCATCATTACACAAGACCTCTATACGAAAACTACTGGTCAAGTTGAAGCTTACCGCGAACTGTCATCGGAACCGATTACTTCAAGTGATGTTCGCCAAGGTTGTTCACTTTCCGCATTCTTATTCAACTTTGTCATACACATGTTCTTAGCCATAACACTAACTTCGTCTCACTTCTCTAGTGGTAGACCTTCTACCACGAGATTCACTAGTTGACTTAGAGTGTGCCGATGACATAGTTCTATTTGATGAAGACGCTGATTTAATGCTGAGTCTTCTGACTACCTCAAGCAACAATGCGAACATGTTGATGATGCGATTCTCCCTGTCCAAATGCAAAATGTTGCTTCAGGATTGGTTTGCATCGGCACCTGAACTAGTAATAAGGAATGAAGTAGTTGAGCGTGTCGACCGCTTCACTAATCTCGGGAGTCTCATCAGTGTTGATGGTCTGGTGACTGACGAAATCTCAACACAGATACAAAAGGCTCGACCGACTTCTGCCAACTTGCGTCATTTATGGCGTAGGCGAGACATTCGTCTATTAACCGAACGACGAATTCACTGCAGAGCACATCACAGCACTTCACTCCATACTATTTTATGGCTATGAAACATGGTCAGTAAGAGTAGAAGATATTCGTAGGTTGTTGGTTTTCGACTACACGTGTCTATGAAGCATTTCTCGTATTTCATGGGACAATCGAGTAAGCAATGATGTTGTTAGGAAATGGGCACTAGTTATGGATGGCGATTCAGTAGATGAAGTAATGAATCTTCATCAGTTGAGGTGGTTGGGACATGTGTTACGAATGGTCAACCATCGACTGCCTTGTCGAGTTGTTTTTCGGTGTTGGAGTAGGTTGGAAGAAAGTTAGGGGAGGCCAGACCAAAACATGAAAGAAATCCACGAAGTCACTGACAATCGGATTGAGTCATGTTGGTAGATTTAGACTACCTGTTTGGGGGCTGCAAGATGACAGAAATCGATTGTTAGAGACCCTGAATTACATGGCTCAAAACCGTTTGCAATGATGCAGATGCATCCATTCTTTGTGTTCTCTCAAACCTTGATCTTCTGAATGCCGCCTGACCGTTTTTCCTTTTCTTTTACTGATTACTCTAGGATATACATCCCAAATGATATATTCAACCATTAATCTTTTTGGTTACTTCTAATACTTCTATTACCTCTACTACTATGGGATTTGAACTAACAATTCGATCTCTGTGCTGAACTGATCTACGTGATATACATGACTTTTATAGATTTTGAGAATCCTACTACAATAATTCATCTACATTCAAAGTGTCAGTGTATAAAGTATGCTACGGAAAATTTAATATATTTCTTTCCTTGGTTTCTTTATTTATTGATTTAGTTACGACAAGCTCGATTAGAAATAACTCAGCAAACAATTGAACTTCCTAAAAAATCAGGTGACTCACATGCTTCGAAAAAATCGAAACCGTACTTGTCGAATTTGAATGAAGATCCACAATTATCTGGAATCATTATTCACGTTTTATCTCATAAACAAGTAAGTGGTGTACTTGATTACTTGCATAGTATTTTTAAAATAAATCATTTTAACATAACTCACTAGCTTCGACAGTATTTGTTGAGTACTCGTGGAGATGAGTTTAATTATTAGGGTTCTGGTAAGACTAGCTTAAGCAATAAGCGACCAAAGATTCATTTCAATGTAAAAGACTGATGTTTTGCAGGTCAATGATACTAAACAAGTCTATGTAATGGCATTTTATTCGCACAGTTTTTTATAAATACGTTGTTCATTTGCTAATGGACTTATTATTGAAACTTTTAGATGTTATAATATGATTCACCTTCCATCAAATATTTGCATTTCATAATATTGTGGGTTAAGGAATCCTAGTTCTATCATTTTGTGTCATTATCTCATGAAATCTTGACATTTTTGTGTTACTAATGCTTACCGCACTTATGTACAAGCAAGATTTACATGCAATGTTATCTTATCGTAAATTATTGAAGATTTTCAGTGAACTGAGTATTAACAGGTTACATGAAATCTATCTGTAAATGATTACAGTTTGATTTACTGATGATCACATTCACTAACTTTGTTCCTTGGATTAATTAAAATTGACATCCATGTTTTCTTATCACAATCATCATTAAATCGTTAATGCACTATAATGCTGTCTAGCTATGATGTAAAACTTATGCTTATTAAGTCGGTTCTGAATGACTAACATAATCATGAATAAAGATTAGAAATAATCAAATGATTTGAAATCCTTGCTCTGAATTTAAAAATTTTTTCACAATCTGACATTAAAATATTTTCGTAATTATTTTATACAGTTGTTACTATCTTAGAGTTTACAAAAATAAACAAGTATAATATTTGTTATTGATATAAATTATTCTGATTATTAATTAGTTTTTATTATTTTAGACAGGAATTGGACGTGAACCTCCGATTGAGTCACAATCTAATGAAAAATCTTCCAAAACTTATTGGATTCAAATGAAAGGTTTATGCATGGTTGATGAACATGCTTTATTAATAAGGCATGGAAAAACTGGTGCCGTAGTGGAATTACGCGCTTTACCAAATGCTGTTAGAATGACGAAAGTGAATGGTGTTCCTGTGAAAAATTCTGTTACACTTCATCATAAGGATCGTATATTATTTGGTACGAATATGGGTTCAAGCTTTTACACTCTAACTTCGTTAAAACTTCATTTATTAGTTGACATTAACAAGTATAACTACGGAATAGTGTCTTATTGACATCAGAATAAAAATTATGGTTCGAATAACTTCAGTCTACACCTACTAATTTATGCGTAAAAGTTTTTAACGATGCTTCAAAAGTGTACAACAGATTTGATGAATATGATAGCCATTTGCTAAACTCTAATTTATATAAAAGAATGTAGTAGCAGAGCTCGATATTCAGACTAGCAAAAAGTAGAATGTTTAGGTAGAGCATTTTAAACCATTTATTACATTATCAAGTTTAACACCATTCTTCAATGATTAAATATATCAATTTCGCGTTAATTCAAAACTCAACATTTCAGCTCATAAAGAAGCAAAATAATATGAAAAGTTACTAGATGTATTTACAGTGTTTCATAATTCAATCAATCAGGCTCACAATCTATCCAGTATTTCAATATCTTTTCTCAAAAAATTTATAAACTTCCAAGTTTACTTATAATCACAAATATTACCTTTCATATTTATATAAAATGAATTTGAGAACATGGCTCCAGTTGTATTGTTGGTTTCCCTACCAGTTCTGAAACTAAATTCACTGAGACGTTGAAGTTGGTAATCAACACTTTTCAACCATTAGGAGATTATCACTGATAGACATTAATCTGTTAGTAAGTATAAAATCATACTTAAAAGCTTGGAATTAGTTGTAAATAATGAATTGAAATTTCTAGTCACTTGTAATGAAAGATTCGAAGCGAGTTGTGATAAACAAATCTGGAATAAATATTATTTACACATGACACGTAGATTTGACTAAAAAACAATTTTTAAAAAAGCACATTTCCAACTAATGGTATTGATTTGATGATTATAGGCTCACATCAACTATACATATTTCACAATCCATTATCAAAAGAATTTGCTGATGAGTTAAAATCTGGTATGGAACCAGAGATCATTGACTGGGAATTTGCACAACGTGAATTAGCTCAAGCTACGGGTTTTGAACAATTTAGTAATAAACCTAGAAAGAAGGGTAGGTTTTATTGTTTTATTGTTAATATTGTCCAGAAGTTTTTTAGTCGAAAGTAACAATAATTTAAAGGAGTTTGGAATTATAAATGGTGTTTTATGACTTAAACATGCAAAATATCGTGGTTTCTACGATATAATTATCTATCTTTATCCATTTCAAAGGTTTACAATATACAGGTACCTATCTCTGGTAATAACTAGTGTCACTTAATGAGATTGACACTGTACCAACTGGTCATACGATGCTTATCAAACTAAACTTATTCGATAATTTAAGAAAATCAAAACATTGTAACCTAGATTTTACCAAATAGTTTTTAAATTGGTACTGACTCATTTTTGTATTAGCATTTTCTGCCGAATGATCAATATTTTAGATGAATTTTATGTCAGCTGACTAATGAATAAACATGTGCATGAAGTCAAAGTATTTGTCGTTTCAAAAGGTTGTAAGTTGATGATTAGAGGTGATCAACAGGAAACTGTGGACTTTAATTTCTTGCATTTTGTCATTCTTCAGGAAAGTGTATCTGTAATCTTGGGGGAACAGATGCTTCCTGTCAAATTTGATCCCGTTTCACACAGTTTCACAGTTAAAGATATGACCACTAAGCTACTCGGGTCACATCTGACCTCCTGGAATGTATTTACGATTTAATAATCACTGAGTAATAATCAGCGTCGCTCATGTGAAGTAATTCTTAATATTGTTCCAGTTCTGTAGGTGCAGCTAAGACGACCTCATATTTGAGAACGATACTTACTACCAATAAAAGTTTGAACTAAGGTGTTAGTAGATACCTGAATCATGAGGGCTTTGAAGAAGCAATGTTTTGTCTTAAAATGCCAAGGTATGATTAGTCAAGACTCAAAATATTTAAAAATACATACGCTGAAATTTATCATAATTCATAATGAAATTTAGTCTCTATGAATTGTGTTTGGAAGAGTAGTTGTATGATGTTCTATGTCGTCGATGTTTCACTTCTTCTGGTTTCGAAATCTTATCAGTATATTCTTAAATGATATGAAAATTTTTTTTATGAACAGGTAGCCCATTAAGATCCCTAATGTATAGTTGTGGATAATAATTGTGCGAATGTTGTTTACTGATGATGATTCTTTTCATTTCTAACCGATAGTTAATTACATCATAGATTATTTGAAATATCATACAGTAGAATTAAATTCGTTATTTATTTTCCAAGGGCTTATGAATATAACTATTCGTATAAGTGACGTTTTAGCTTGGAAGAATCAAATGTCATCATGAGTTATGTGATTTTATTGAAACCTCTCAAATGTTAATCATTTGTTTCTGGTATGGGTTCGTATTTCACCAATCTCAAGTTAAAAACTACTTGATCGTCAAAAGAACTATTGCTATTTTAAATCTTATATATTATTGGTACATTTATATTTTAGAAGAAGCAATATTGCAACAACAATTACTTGAGCTATTACCGATGGTAAATGAGGCTAACGCCATAGCAGATGAATTGAATAAACAAAGAACATTTGAAGTAATTTTACTGCCACCAACTGCACAAGCTTTGAAATACGGTGAATTAAAGCGTACAAAGTAAGTGTTATTAGGATTTTTCGGCAGCTGAATAACTCAAATGTCTTTCGAAATCATACATATAATTTCCTTACTGAAATTAGAGGTTGTAACAACAATCAAAACTTTCAAGGTATTGGAGTAATGATAAATAGTTCTGACCTTTCATATATTTCCCCATTCAGACAGTCTGACTCAAATCCATGTTGTTCGACGGAGTTCTATACTAAGGTAAATCATGAATTTCTGTGTGGAAAACTCTTACAGGTCAGTCACTATACTCTGAAAATGACTGGAAAAAATTTCCAATAAATTTTTCTACTTTAACTGCAGATGCAACTGTACAATAGATGACTAAATTTCAACTGCATTTTTTGGTAGATTAATTATTGGTGACTAACAGAAATTCATAATTATGCTAATATTCATAAGAAAGGAATATATATAAGTTTTAGGTGAATCATGTCAGCTTCGTGGTCAGAGATTTTACAGCTCATAATTTCATACTGTAAGAATGGTTTCCATCGAGGAAGTTTTTCGAGGTTTGTCAAATTTAGTTCTGATGACTAATTCGCTAATACTTGACATTAAAACGCTTAAAATTTTCTATTTTACCTTTGACGATACTGTTATGGTTTGTGATAGCTGAGACCTGAACGTGATACGCTCTAGCCCCCAAACTGAACATTCGAGCGAGCAGGTAAAAATAGAAAAGGAAGTCTATCTGGTTACCGAATAATATGTACAAATACTCATACATATGTGTTTAATATATATTCCAACCCCTAAGTGAATGCATTTCTTGACCAATGAAATGCATCCGTCCTCTAGGACATTTCTGATCATCAAACGACTTCCTTATCTGATTGGCTCACCATGTCACAAACATTTTGCGGTTTTGTTAATAAATATAAAAAATATTCCCATTGTGAAAATTAGAACAACACATATAAGCGAACAATATTGTTTTCGATTAGATCGTCATCAGGCTTTACTCTAATATACATGAATATTTATATGAAAATGTTAAACCAATCAAGGCAATTTGAGTGATAATCACAATGAAATGAAAAAGGCAAAAGTACAAGTGGATAGTAGGAAGATAGGTGAACCGATAGTAGTAGGAAAATTTATAAAATATGATAACTAAAGTAGGTCAAGGGTGGATGAATAGAATTCAAATAATCATCAAAAACATCAAAAACATTACGGAATAAGCAGATGTGTAAAAATAATAAAAATAATAAAATTAAATTAAAATAAATAAAATATAATTTAATTTTATTATTTTTATTATTTTTACACATCTGCTTATTCCGTAATGTTTTTGATGTTTTTGATGATTATTTGATTTCTATTCATCCACCCTTGACCTACTTTAGTTATCATATTTTATAAATTTTCCTACTACTATCGGTTCACCTATCTTCCTACTATCCACTTGTACTTTTGCCTTTTTCATTTCATTGTGATTATCACTCAAATTGCCTTGATTGGTTTAACATTTTCATATAAATATTCATGTATATTAGAGTAAAGCCTGATGACGATCTAATCGAAAACAATATTGTTCGCTTATATGTGTTGTTCTAAATATAAAAAAGTAGTGGTTGAATCAAACGTTATCAAAATATGTTCCTAATGTGTCTAGGTGTACACTTTTTTCACCTAAATTTATGGGATGAAATGGAATCAAAACTAATTATAGAGTGGTAACCAGAACTCATGGTTATCAAAATAGTAATTACTGCAAATACTATTGTCTTTTATATCCATATTATAACGATAATAATCGAGCATATTGCTAAAAAATTATTGATATTATCAAGCAAGAGGTTCAAAGAGTGAAGTGACAGGTGTGGAAACTTTATGCGTGGGTGGTTGCGAGAAATACTTTACACTACAGTTTTGTTTGAATTTTATTCTGGTTCTATGTATTTTTCAATTGCATAGAGTTATGGTTCGCATGAAATGCACAAATACAGGTCAAATGTGTTTGTGGGAAAGAGAAAAATTCATGACACGAAGATTTTTAATGCAGGTAAAAAGTAAATAATACAAACATTTTAAAAATAGTTAACTGTTCGATTGTGTTAACGTCCGACTCTGCTAATAATCTACTGATATGAGCTCTAAAACCAGCTTCTTGAGAAAGACAGGCGAGAGTGAGTAGGCTAAAGCTGAATCAAGAAAGTATGTACGCTCAATTATAAATAAACTTCCGTTCCAAACCAAACCAGTTTTTCAACCCATGACATGTATCTATATCCTTAGAAAATCAAGCCAAAGTATGATCAGTAGCGTAGGCCTATCTCTGGTCTGTGTCCGATTAATTATAATCTAGCACTAATACTTTAAGCTGAGTAGTGCAATATAGTCATCAGCAGTCGTTATGAGAAATTAACATTCCATACATGGTATACAAGAAATTTATTCGTATTTGCTGATTATAAATTTGTAGTCATCATTATTCAAGTAAACAATTATTCAGTTACTATTATTTGTAAGTGAATGATGATTGTGCACAATATTTAAAACAGATAGTCCTTTGTATAAATTGTGATGGAGTTGATCCATTTGTAAATACCAACAGCCCTTTTCGATATATATATATATATATATATATATATATATATTATCAAGACAGACTAAAAGTCACGATCAAGACAGCATATTACGCTTCTAAACTGGTTGTGATTTCATATAGGCCTAGGCATTACAAGAATGAACTTGTCAAAACCCATCGCTTATATCAGTTTACATATTTGCTTGAACTCTCAGTCACAGCGAGGAGTAGTCGGACAATGCAATCAAGGGTTGCCGAACATGTGCTTGGATAACTTCAAAACTAGGTAATGATTCAATAAACGTAGGAAATAGAAAACTATATTTATCAACTGCACATAATTGAAACTTGGCATTGGATTGTCATCGATACAACTTTTAAAAAGATGAACAGAAATCGTCAACTACGAATTTTTAGGTTTTTAAACAAGCCTTAATTATTCGCAAATTCAAACTCCTACCTTATGTGTACAGAAACAACTTATCATTACCTCGGATTTGCTCTGGAGATCTTGAAGCCGTTTTACGGTCTAGGATAGTGTGACGATTTCCTATTCCTTTCCTATCTTGTCAATTTTCTCTCTCATTTATTTACAAATACCACTTTATGTTGATTTGAACTTTTATTTCATCCCTCAATGGGTACAATGCAAATACATCACATTTTTGACCTCAACTCCGTCGTCTGATTGTCCGGTTTTTGAAATGCTCTGATTAGGTAAAGCAATGTGTTCCAGTTCATATCTGTTGCATATTTTCTCCACGAGCACAGAGAACTGTATACTTGAGAACTTGATTTTCACTTCCTTATACTCATGATGAAAATTTGGCCATAGATTGAAAGTCACTTTGACCAGAAAAATAAGGATATTTGGTGATTTCAATTCAAAATTCAACAAGCCTCAAGAAAACCTATTATTTAGAAAAAATTCCTTATTGGCTATAGAATATCTAACTCTAAACCTGAACACATATTAGTGGTCATTAACGAAAATTAGGTTAATTCGTTAGGACAATAAATTGTTAAATCAGGCTAGCCAATATACGTATTACCATGAGTAAATATATCAGCTATGCATAGGTCTTAATTTGGAACCAGTTTTCAAATCAGTTACATTCAACATACAGACTGACAGGTAGAAAACTAGCCGTGGTATTTTCGAATTAAAATAAGGTAAATAGATTAAATGCAACTTCTAAAGGTATTATTCATGAAAGTGCATTGAATAAATATTTGTTTAGTAAACATGTCGCAATAATTTTGGAATAATAATTCGGTCACCAAACATAATGCATGAGTCGATAATAGTGAGTGAATCGCGCCGGCGGAAATATTGTTGCAGTTCTCCTTGTAGACGACGATTCGGCCACTTTGAGAGGATATAACCTTTGACTTCTTGTAGTATTTTGTCATTTATTGTAGCTTCTTTAAAAACTTTGAATGTAACTGGTAGACCATCTTCTGCGTCTTCCAACACTTGATGTACTTCTGACTCAATCGCAGCCACCAAGATATCTTCTTCCTGATTCGCTTGAGAACCAATGAGTCTAGACAAAGCGTCAGCTTGTCCGAAAGAAGTAGTAGGTTGGTACTTAATTTTGAAGTCGTAGCCCAATAATGTGGTTCCCCATCGTTGCAATCTGTTCGCCGTATAGACTGGGATCCCTTACTTTGACCCAAATATGGCTAGCAGCGGTTTATGATCAGTTAAGAGTGTGAAGCTGCGTCCAATTATCATCTTGTGAAATTTTCTTACGCCAAAAATAATTGACAAAGCTTCTTTCTCAATCTGACTATATTTACGTTCTGTTGTAGTTAAAGACCTTGCTGCATGAGAGATTGCCTTCTCTGACCCATCAGGCATTCATAGTTCTTTCGTTAAACCACAAAGTTTTCTCAAAATATTACCTCTCATTTCCTATATGATTTCTAATTATTTAGTCTGCCATTTCTACGTTTATAAGTTGATAATCTCTCTTAATGTTAATCAAAATTTATTAACAATAATGCATTTATTAGTTTTGCACTGTCCAAGATGGATTTGTCATTGAGCTTGGTAAATTTTTTCAGATTCCCTTATTTAGAGAAGAGTCACGTCATCGGTTCGATTTAAATAAGGGAATAATCAACAACTAATAAAAAAAAACGGACTTCAAAGGGGTTGGAAAATTTACGATTCTGACCTCCGAGCACTCTTTTTTGACAGTTGCTTAGCCCATATTTTGATACATAGATCATGAATTCACTTATTTTGAAATATTTATAATTATTTCCATAGATGTTTACGAAATAGGTGTTAGAAACTCAATCACTAAAATAATAAGATCCTCCATTATCAAGCAACCAATTGAAAAGAAATATTTATTCACTTAGGTTATAGTTTCACTGACTTAATTTGATTGTGATCAAATCAATATAAATGTAAAATAAAATATTTTGTTTGTTTTCTAACTTATAATAGGATATGTATCAAAAAAGTTTAAATAATCAACTAGAAGATTATTTACAGGAATCTGATCCATTTTGGGAGCCATTAGAAGATTTATTTATTGGTATAGCACCAGCGTTTCTACGTGCGTTAGCTTATCGTCTGGATGTAGATGAAGAAGTAAAAATTATGGATTTCATTGGCGATGAGTTAGGAACTATTAATGTAAAATTAATACCTTGTTCGGCATCTAATTCGAAATCCCCGTTACCGTCCGATAGTACTTCTAACAAAAAAGATGATGTAACGTTTATTGAAGACCCTAGACAATTGATTGGGAAACCATACAGTTTCAAGGTAAGTATTATTCTGTTGCTGTTAGTTGAAATTAGATAATTTGTAGGATAGACTACACCAATATAAAACTAATGCGCATGTCAAACTAAAGCTAATAAAGATAAAGATAATATGCTTTTAATTATAAAATGCAAGGAGTCGATTGTTGGATGTTCGTATATGTCACATTTTTACATTCACTTGAATCGAGATAAAATTTGGTAGCATTTTAGCTTTTTTATTTCCACACATTTAACGCATACAAGTAACAGTTGGTTTTGATACAGTTTTAAGAGGTTGGTGTCATTGAATTTAATGGTATTCAAGAAATACGATTTTCCATGTAGCGAATTTCATCTTAACTAATCAACTGTAACATAAATGCAGTACTCTGAACAATCATCCTTTTTAAATCTGACGACAATAGGTCATTTTTGCATGATATGGCAAATCGGATAAAGATAGGAATTTAAACTGTTGAATGCGAACTCAGTAGTGTGAAGGTTAAGCTCACTGATCCATGATGGTGCCATAGTTGGGTGCATTTGAACAGTTGCATAATGGAACGAGAATCTGTCGAGTTCTTGCTAGCTTACACACATTGTCCAACGAAAGTCAGTCTGTGATATGAAACTGTAGAGTTTATTTAGGTTCTTAGTCTGTCTAATTCACAAATTATGTAATGTTACGGAGTCCCCCGCGATTTAATATCGGCTCTTATTGATGCAAGCGTATTATTTTTCCACTGAATTTTCTATGGTTTGGTGTTATTTATTGAATAACATCAAGGACAACTGACTGATAAAGTCATAACGACCGTCATTGATAGGTAATAATTATAAGATCATATATTTTTTCCGAATGACTATGAAAACATATCTAATCTAATCTGACATAGTGATGAAGTGAAAACTAGAGTTTCATTTATTTGTGTTACTGTTTTCATCGTAAAAAAATATTACTTATGAGTGTAAATGTAAGGTATAAACGCAGGAGAAGCTCAGATATCATCATCAAAGTATTTAATAGGTAGAATTTCCGCATTTCGATATAGTTTTCAAAACAAATCATGATCTCAACCTGTTGGTAGATAAGTAACGTTTAACGGACCATTTCGTCATTTAGTTAAAAGCTACAAAGAACCTACTTGTACACGGAAAATAGCTGACTGAATTATCAATCAGCATGCTAGATTTAGATACTTGTAGAACATTTTCCGGATGACGATTCTTGTTTTTTCTTTAGATATTAAAGAAATTTTTACAATGTTGATTTTTTCATATCGGGATAGAACATAGTAATTATTCGAATCAGATTATATGGTTCACTTAGATTTCGGTTCGCCAGAATTTATATTGATATTTATCATATGTAGCACATAAATCGTCAAACAACATAGCGCATTTTATGTGACGAAAAAAGAATAAAGAGAAAGTATTTCTTTGAACGAACTCATTTACTTTAGCTGTATAGTCGTATATAATTGTCTGATACGTATTTAAAAATTTTCTTCTTCAAACTCTGTTTTTATCTTATAACACAAAAGATTACTTTAACTTTTTGGTGAAATATTCTTTTATACTTGTCAAAATCAGGGAGAGAATGACAAGATAACATATACAGAAAAATTAGTATTATATTATCGTCAATGATATACAATTCGGAATCCTCTTAACGCAAAAATTCATGTTTCATTACTTGTGAGTATTTTTTTCTAAGTTAAAAACTAGCTGTTATTACAACATTTAACACACAGTCGTTACACACTTAATCAATACTTTTGTCTTAATGATTTTCATTCATACCTGAATAATTGCATACAAACCCCTTTCGATATTGATTCTTTTTATGAACCGTTTATGACTCGACAGAATTTTACTGTTGATAATTCCATAGAAATAGAGAACACCACATTTCTTATGTATATTCTTAATCATCATACTATTTGAATTATTGTTGATGCCTTTTCTTAAATGATACAAAAACCCTCTATTTTATTAATGATTAGGATTCACAAAAATTACCGATGAGTAACGTTTAAGCATTGATTTGTTTTAGGGTTTTTATCTACTATTAGATTTATTAAACGGTTAGCATTAATTAAATGTACCACTTACATGAAATTATCACGGCTGCATATTCTTATCTTCAAACATCTTTGACAATTTGTTTGCAGCCGAAATTCATCGGTGAAATGACTGATACTTTAAAATAATCTACTAAGATGATAAGATGGCAAATATTTTCCATGTCGCAAAGTTTTAAATGCATGAGTTTTAAGGCACTGTAATTAGAAATTTGTGTCTATCGCGATTAGCTGGTACATAATTATCGATTTAGTCTAGTTTTCGTTAAATGATATACTTAGACCTTCAGTTTGCATGGGAGCTATATGCACATAATTTTTACCGATCGCTTCTTGACAGCAGAGCTGATAAAATCAATTTAACACAACTTTAAGAGTGAAGTTCCATATCTACATGATCAATAAGAAAATAAATGCAATTTTTCATTTCATAATTTATCATATGACTCTGGAATATAACTGGTTTAGCAATTTTTGGCCAATACAAAAATTAAACCTTATAACAGAACTTCTTTATTAAAAGATCATTTAAATGTAGAAATATAATTCTCAACGTCCGACCGGAACCATTTATTGTGTACAAGTTCAACTAATTAGATTGCACCAATGCATTATTTTCAACCAATTTAATCACTCATTTTTGAAAAATTTACGTCTCAAATTACATGAGCACCACTTATTCCTAACTATATATTTAGTCATTCCCATAAATTGTTTTTATATTAGGTGTCCAAAATTTTCAGTTACTGGAATAAATATACCAATTAGTGAATGAAATGCTGAACTGGCGATATTTCTTTCAAAGTATGAAAAATTCCCTAGTAGGTCATTAGCAAGATCTTTCTGACTTTATCTGAACGTCAATAAAAGTGAAAATTAGGTCTCCCGACAAAAAAATCATACTTGATTATATTTAATTTCATACATTTGGTAAAGAATTTATATTATGAATCATGTACTATTGCAACTAATTCTTGTATATCAGCACTTTTCAGTGATTAAAAACTGATCTTCGTTTGCATTGGTATTTTGATTAACGTTCTTATGAAGACATTACTTTCCTAGCATAGTATTTTATTCATGCATGACTGTCAAAGTGAAACGCATCTAGTTTTGTCAATGACTAGATAAGACGGAAAACATATCAATCAGTGTGGAATGTGAGCTTGAGGTTTCGTAATGATGAAGTCAACATTCACTAGTTTAAATAAATACGAAACATATTAATTGTATTGAAATATAATTTTTATTTATATAAAATAGTAGCATGGATGTTTCAACAAGCCTGTCTAATTTATTTATTTTATCGTATTTGCTTTTGTTACAACAGGTAATATAAAGTTCTTTAAATTTAAATGACTCAGAACAAAATAAACGAAGATATACAGTATATTATCGTATATTTAAAGAATCAGAATTAACAACTGCCACGATGGAACCTAACAAATTACATACACGATTATATTCAATAGATGAAATCACACATGAACATTTAGACTATTTTCATTCAGAATTTATATGTTTCATGATTTATTGTTCACAATTGGAAAATGATGTGAAAAAAACTTTCCATGTGAGTTTTTCATTATTTTTAAACATTATTTTATGACTTTTCATCATTGAGTAGTGCAAATGTTGTCCATTATTAAAATCATGAATCAATCATTGTTAGACCATCATTAGTAACTTGGAAGCACTGGACGTCTGTTTTGTCCTGGTATGGGACTCATCAGCAGTGAACATCCACGACTCCTGTTACTCTCAGGATTCAATCCAAGGGCTTTCACTCTTGAGCGCGAACGCTTAACCTCTAAACTAATGAGCCGAGTGTTCGGACGCAAAGCTGAAGGTCGTTAGTTTGAATCCTGTGAGTCGCTGGAGTTGTGGGTGCTCACTGCTGATGAGCACCATACTAGAACAAAAAGGCTGTCCAGTGCTTCCAGCTTTCTAATGGTGGTCTAACAATTATTGATTCATGATTTCAATAATTATCTAATAAATCTTCTTTTCTTTAAGATAGACTGAAAGCATAAGGTTATTTGAATGTTTGCTCTGATACATTCCCAAAACAGTATTATAGCAAGCATTAATGAACTCAACCGAGAGTTATTACTACAGTTTGAGCTATTTAGCAAGCGTGTTCTACACTGTTTTACAATTGCATTTTTGTCCTAAAAAATGTTATCGATTGTTGATTATACTGTTTACTTTCCAAAGTTGTCGTATGGATTGTTAGACTAATCCATATCTTTGAGTTTGTGAATATTGGTAGTTTTGTGCAGATTGTTTAATTTGATTTGAAATTTCATCAAGAAGTGGCATAAACTAGAAAACCAATAAGAATTTACAAGTATTGAATGATCTTTATTCTATTTTATACACTATACTACTTTGCATTAAGAGTAGATAGTCATTTTCAAATAAACATTTACACTTAAATGTTTTAAAATTTGTAAGTTTATTTATGAGTAAATGTTTACTCCCTCAGTTGTGAACTTACCATAAATATGCTAAAAAGTGCTAGTGTTTAATGAGATGATGATTCAAGTGGATATCAGCTAGAGAATTTTTACCTGATTGTACTCATAGTTTGAACATTTAAGGGGAAAATTCAGAAAATCGACTGATATGATAATTTATTTGTATTGTTAATTTGTGTCTCCCCATTGATGGTAATGACTGTGGTTGATCAATCTCATTTGACATATGTGCAACCTGACGAAGAGCGCGTCTTAGATTGCACTACCCTTCACTATTCATCTCTGCTTATAATGCTTGTGACGTGTGGCTGTATCAAGGCGTTTCACTTAGGATGCACACATGCCAGATGAGACTGATCAATTGCAGTCCTACTTATCAACTAAAAGATTCGAATTTCCAGTACTACTGAATTAAACTTCAGCCCATCTCACAAGCCGACGGCTGTCTGGACTCGGTAGCCAAGCTGATAACGATTGAATGATTGAACAGAATGTCACTGGGTTCGAGTCTTGGAGACAATATTAATTCTGAGATGCAGACATACTCAGCTGATGAGTCAGTCCCAAACAGGAAGAAATGCGCGTCCTTAATTCCACTCCTGGCCATTATACACTTCTGTTTATTATGACTGAATATTTTAAAAACTTGTTTGTCGAAAAATTGAATTTACAACTAATACAGTCTTACGTTAATAACATCGTATTTTATTTCTGTGTATCAAGAGTGATTCAGAGCCGATTGGCATAAATTGGCATAAATTATAAATTCGCATCTAATTAAAAATGGTCTTTACTGAAATGACTGAAGAGTCTTTGAAAAAACAAAATTACGAATATTCATATGTTCAATGGAACATTTTTACCGTGATCTTTTACTTTCGAAATATTTAAACTCATTTTTATCTGAGTTCTGAAAGCCAATCTATGGATATTTTGTTGTTTGCTGTTTCAAATATTCTATTTTCCAGTTTTATATCATGAAATTACACTTTACAACGAAGTGTATTTTGTTGAGAAGTTCATTATTCTTATAAATATTTGACGAACTGCAGGCTTACAAAGATTTCAATAAATGGTCTCATTTGTTTTATTGTAATTGTTAACGTTGCTAAGTATAGTGTAATCTAAGCCACTTAGGTAAGCTGACTTGAAATTCTCCATTTTCGAATACTATTGTTAATAACTAAAGTTTCCGTTTTATAAAGGCTGTAGAAGAGGCTAGCTTATAAGTAGATGATAAGTATTAAGCAAACATCGAGACTATTTGTTCAGTGTTTCAAGCTATTCAGTGTTCAAATTTTCATGTTAATACTAGAGGCTTCTATCGTTTCCTGTGTTTACTAAAGCAGTAAGTAATTGCATTTTTCAATAAATATGATATAATTTTTAATGACTTCCTGCTTTCTGAATACCTTTGTCAAGGATTATTCACCTACACAGTTATTTCCAAGACGTTATTCCCACTTATCAGTCGAAGAATTGGATGATATCAGCAAATTGAAAACAGAGTTAACTATTTTGCAAAGAGGATTGGATTCATTTTTGAAAAAAGATAAACAACTAGATGTGAGTAATTACAATATGTTCTTAAAAACGAAAATTATATGAACATGATTTTCATGTATATCAATTTTTGTTAGCATTTACGTTTGTAGTACCTCTGTGGTGCGCGCTACCACATACATTTAAGTTTGTTCATGTCTAATTTGGTTAAGTCCTTGTGATTAACTTATTTAATTGAGTCATTTGTACAGCAATAACTTGTATGAACTAATGGTTTTTATTGTTGTCAGGTTTGTATGAGCAGGTATGACTGAACACTGCTTACCGCCTATGCGTATTTTCATCCTATCCGCTTTAATATTAGCCTCTTAACAAAATTCGATGACGCATTCGTTTTCCTATGTATATATCTGTACAGTTTAAGCATGTTCATTCATTCGCTAACTTGGTCATTCGTTTACTTCCACTTAGGCACTCTCAGATCAATTCATAAACCGTTAGGCGTTACCTAGTACCGTTTGTCTGGAAAAGCAGCATACGAAGTCTAAGGACATATGGAAAACCGACCGACCCAAAACTGGCGAGATCTTGTTCACTACAAGTCCATTTGTTCTAACAGCCGATGGTTAGCTATTATCTTCAGTAAAATCTCATAGATTCCCTAGGTGGTGTGAAGTTTGGAGTATTTAGTAAATTATCGAAGGCTTAAAATGCTTATAATCCAAGACTAAATATATATATAACACTAGGATTTGTTAACAGAAAACTGAAATCATCAAATTTTCATGGATTAATTCACACTGATTGAGTTATCTAATGCTTACTGGCGTTTAATGATTTATTAGAGGGTGCCAATTTTCGACATATGATTTGTCAAAAAACTCAAATAAGATTATAAAGAATGTATCCTTGAGTATTACTTAGTTTAGATTAGGCTGCTTACAACTAAATACCTTTAATATATTTTGAAACATGATTAGTGGTCATTATGTTTGGATTTGTATTTAATGTGATTAAAATCAAAGTATATTCTGGCTATGACAAACTCTTTCATTTGTAGAAACTGTATGAATCCTGGGCAAACAAATCTTCATCAGTTGTTAACTTCAAACTATTGTTAGAGGATATCCGCAACTTGGTTAACATGAAAATTCCTACTAATTTATTAACTGCATTAGAAAAGAAAACTGTGAGTTTTTTTTATGGTCATTCGTTATTTAAGAAAGAAACAGTACATTTAATGTTTTAAAAAAGGTGACAATATCTCTAACGGTAACATAAGAAACTTCAATTCTCTCAGAATTGAAGATACGATTTGCTAGTTAGAACTACGTACGTCCTAGACTTCCCAGATATATTACCTCTAACCAACCAATTTTCTTGGTACACAATTGAGGCTTATAAAATTTTGTCGTCTAACAACAAGCACTTTTAGCTAAATTATTTACTTTCAAAATATGAGTCAACTCTAATATATATCTCGACACCATGTCCCTGTTATATTTCTGTCTAAAATATTTTACTTCATAGCCGAACACTTTTTTAATATGAGTTAGCATCATTATGATAGGGGTGTAAAAGTGTTATCAATAACTTGAACATTGATCGACACTTTGATACGCTAAACAGCGTAATTTATTAGCTGCATAATGGAGAATTCCTGCTTTACATCAATAAATTATTTCATACGCACATCTCTTTTTCCAGAAAGAAAAAAGCAAATTTTATTTCACAGGTTGGTAACTTTGTTGGGGATACTAGATCCCCTGAAATCACTTAACAATGAACAAAACCATGCTGATAGATCGACTATGAGTCCATTCACTTATATTTGAGCTATTCCGCTTTGAGTGAGAACTCATGATGTTACCAGTCTGCTCAAACCTATATGGGTGGAATTTTCATTATTTTCCTAATTAATCGTAATATGGTTCGGCTACAGGCATTGTTTAACTAAACAGTCTATGATTTCGCATTCAACTTAGTTTTGAAAAATAAGACCGTGTTCGTTGGCAGCATACAAGTGATCATTTATCACGCTGGCTTACATTTACATGTAAATGAACCATGAAATAACGGTTTACAAAATCCATTGTTTTAATCTACTTTTACTTACAATTTGTTAAATGAAACCATACTTTTGAAAAAAAAGTATTCACAAAAGCGGTCATGTATTGATGGTTAAGCAAGTACCTGAAGAAAAAACATTTATTTTATAAATTTACAAAATCATGTAGGAAGGTATAATATTTCGATTTTTAATGTTCGGAAAACGATAATTTGGGATCACTGTTAGGGTGTGAAACAGAATGTCTACATGGTTTTATTTTTTGACTACTTAGTTCAACTGCTTATTCGATATTCAGTTATGTATACTGCGTACGTAAACTGAATTCAGATATGGATTGCAATTTAAAATATCCATTTATTAATAAAAAAACAAAATGAATGCATTATAAAGCTAGTTATTTTTATTTATGATAATTTGTTTTCATCTATATGTTATAGTGAGCTCATTCAAATTGATATCTTACTGGTACAAATTTCGTGCAATCTTTCAAAGCTAGACAAACATGCGTTTCAGTTTTAGATTATTTAATAATTTATTCAAATTACTCTCGTTAACTGTCATTTTTTAATATATTTCTAGTTCTTCGTTACTAATGAGATCAAATTTTTATTTTATTCGATTAAAACATTCTACATAATAATTTCTTCTTTCTAAATCTTAGAACAAACATCAGCGAACCCATGTTTATTTATTTCTACCTAGTTATACACTGTTACGTTATTTGAATATGTGACTACAACTTTTATTCATTGCAATAATGTATGCAGAATGAGAATTCACCTTAAGTCACCATATAGATTACCATGAAAAATCATTCAATGCTCTTTTTGTCTAGATCCATAACCTTTACACTTTGATTCAAGAGCGTATTTGTTTCTCTAGTACACAATCAACTAATTGAAACAAATAAAGCGAATAAATTTAATCAATTAGTCAGTCCGTATTACAGCTAGTCGTCGTAAGGACTAAGATCATAAAAAAGATACCAATTAAGGATACTAAAATAATAATAGCATCACCAATCGAAGATAAAACTTAAATATAGAAAATATGGTTTCAAAAAGTGTACATGAAGTGGAAAGACAGGATTTGTTCTGTCGTATTGAAAAAAATTCATTATATATATAAACAGACAAAGATAGTAGACTTCTGCACCACTCCATTCAATTTCAAACCATATAACCTTATATCTCTAGCTACAAATAATGGTAATAAGATGTTCCAAATGGTTCAAAATAACAATCATTGTCTTCACTAAGTAATGTCATTTATCACTTTGGTAGCTTCTGAACTATTGGATTCCAATGTGAACCGAAAAATCGGCCAAGGCTTGTTGTATGTATTGTTTTATTAGTGAAACTAATTGTCGCCACTTACGTCTATGGGTCTCGAACGCAGTAGATTTTACAACATTTAGATAAATATACGGATTTCAACAATAGTTGCTTTATTGGATAAACAAAGATTTTTTGTAATAACCTTTCATGGCAAAACATGTCACGTTTTCTAACTACTCATATTGTATTTCAGCTGAACTGGTAAACATTATGTTCAATTAAAATGAAAATGTTCCTGCATCAATTTGCCAGGTCGAGTTATATTTTATTTGCTACCATACTAACATAATAGCTTTTTAGCAATAGTAGGGACGAAAGCTATGTTGCATGCATGTCATATAAGTCATACATTGATTACATTCGAGGTACTATTAAAAACACGATGAGCAAATGTAGTTATAAATGTCATGAATGCATTTGATATGCTTAAACTATCACGAGTTCACTTAGTCGGTAAACGAAAGCGAGAATCGATGATGCGGCGACACGACAGGCTACTATAATACGAGTGTCCCAAACCACCATTGAGTAGAAGAAAAAGACTTGATATGAAGTGGAACATGTATTCTACAAGCATCCAGAAAGAATGCCGTCCGATTCCAGGCGACATTAAGGATCCCAAACTAAGGATTCGGGCCATAAAACGTTACAGATAGTGCATATTTATACAGTTAGGTCGAATATGAAACAACACAGAAGTATGTATCATTGATAGATAGGACGACCAATAGGGATGAATCCATAGGAATTGACCAAAAGAATTATACATAAAAAATACCATAATAAACCAACCGAGCTAAATTGGCTGGAACATATGTTCCTGTAGCTTCTACTATGCCACGTCGGTAGATTAGAGACTAAAAGCAGCAAATCGAGGTCTGAGGGCGAAATCATAATGCTGACTGTAGAGGCGTGCGATAGCAGTAAGTTGTTTCACTCCGACAACCGGCATCTGCAGCGATTCTGCCTCCTCACAAGGAAGGAAGGGGTTAGACAAGGCCGACCCTAAAATATCACACCTCACCTTACGTCACGGATTTCCGTCTCCTGCAGTAAAGCCGTTTAAACAACAGCGGAGCTAAAACTAAAACCCAAAACGTTATTCCTGGTCTCCTGAAAACCCGTTCTAAACTACGTGTTGGAGCTTTTACTGTCTGGACATTGTGTCAAATAGGGCAACAAGCTTCCTTAGTCAGGACTCTAGGATCTCGTGCCGTTGATGTATGCTGTGTTTTTGGAGTGCGCATGCAGGAAATGAGTAGTGTCATTCATTTGACCTCACCTCATCTCCTTCATATTTTTCTTTTTAAGTTTATTTCACCAGGTTCTACTTCTTGAATAATATCCTCGAACCCTGATCTCTCCGATTACTGCTAATCCTTCTACTACCACTACTACTGTAGGATTTTTATCAACAATCGCGTCTGTGCGCTAATGGTGTATGTCAACTTGAACTGATGTACGTACCTGTAAAGTTTTATGTTTTTGCTGACTGATGTCAAACCTATATTTGGATTTTCGAAGTAGATTATTTGTTTGCCTACATATGTGTTAAACATGTTAGTGTTACGTCGCACATTATCGCTGGAGTCTCTTTCAAAATACTGAATGGACAACTGTCTAATTAAAATTTTTCATGAACAATATTCAAATATGATGTAAAAACCAACGATAATTAAATAGTTATATATTTTAAAACCTATATATATATGTATATATATGTTTATTTGGGCATTGAAGGAAACTGGGTTAAAACATATTGTTGTTAATTCACCATAATAAATAGAGGACGTCTTTTAAACTATCAAGGTAATAATGTACAATAATAAAGCTAATCAATAATAAACTAGAATTATTACGTCGAAACGTAATTATCTGTAAAAAATCTACGGGCATAAAGATAATTATTGCAACGATTAAGCATTGGTAGGTGATTTGATAATAACTGCCAGAATATAATTTACTGATATTATGTTGTTCAAAACAGTAAACTGTATAGTAGATTTTAAAGCGTTCGTTACTTCCATTCGTTCCTTTCACAATTAGGCTATCAATGGAATATCACGTGGTGTGTTGTTGAGAATTGACCTTCCATGGAATGGCACATTGAGTGGATGTAATCTCTCCCTAACAAATAATGGAATACAGCAGGACAGTTAAGTTTGTAAAACATAACACTGAAAACTAGATGATAGTTTAATTGTAGATATCAGTCACTTATTGATTGAGTGAAATTGATCCGCACTCACACCAAAAGTTTTCATCTGAGATCCGCTACCTAAAAATTCTGTCAATTTTATGTATTGAAAGTTTCATTTGTTTTCTATTTTGTTGATTTTTCTACTTACGTTCTATCCATAACATATAAGGTTGTACTTTATGATAAATTTGACTGTTTTGTAGATTTGTGTTGAATGTTTGATGAGTTTCTCTAAATTTTATGGACAAAGACACTGTGTCATATCATACAGTGATTATAACTAACTAGGGTTAAATCCATTCAGTTTCCATTTTTTATTCATTAGATACTACTATTGTTTACATAAGTTTCCATTTTCTATCCTCGAACTTGTTTCCTTATGTCTTAGTGCAGCAATATCGGACCAACAAAGTATTTCACGTCAATTTACTTTGACGTATTTAACATTTCACAAATCATGTGAAAGACTAGATGTTTCAGAAAAGAACAACAAGCAGCTAACCTGCTTACTGGACAGAATTATTTCCGGTTTAGCAGTGTAAATAAACTTGACAGTTAACAAAAATTGAGGATATTTTTTGTGAATCAAGCTTTCTTTTAGTAGTATATATGGCACGAATCTGTATTTGAAAACTGAAAACACGTATGCAATATCGTTCAAGGGAGAAATTATGATGTTTATGGCTATGTCTTCTAAATTCAGCTGCATTTTCGAAAAACGTTATTGCCATTACTAGAAAAGAATGAAACTGAAGTAAAGTATATTTACTCGAACTACTTGCTATGATACGAGTGACTGTTACTTTCTCAATATAATTCTGAAGTAGATAGATTGAGGTCTTAAGTTAATAAGAAATTATTCTTATCTAATCTAAATTGTCGACGTATCTTTTATGTATCTTCTCATTCATTGTTGATTAATTTTACATGCTACTGGTTAATTCCATCATGAAAATGAATAATGAATTACCTTAATTTAGAAGCTTCTTTCAGACTTAAACGTGCTGATGAAGTAGAGTCAAATGCAGACATAGCACCCCATACACACCGTGACTGATCATAATTTTCCGAGTTATAACGTCCAGGACCTACCGGACTCTGGATTAGAAAGATAATAACAATTTTTAAAGACCGAATTACACTTATTTATTTAATAGGTAGTAGTTATCACCTATTAGACTATGTAAATCAAATCCAAGATAATATATAATTATATTTTGGAAAAAACTATCACAATCTACAGGCCCAGAGAATACAATAATAAGTTGAAAGCACAGTGATTTTCGTCATTTAAAAATTCAGTAAGTCTAAGAGTGTAGTACAAAAAATGTAAAGAAAACTTAATACCTTGGTTCGTTATAGTTACTGTTACCCATCAGCAAGTTACGGCATTGCGTGAATGTTTTTGTGAGTTTTTTTCTTACTGTATAATAGCTTGTTGTTTACAATCGATTGAGCTTAAGCTGACTCCACTCCTTAATATATTCACTGCCAGACGGGATGAGCTTCTGAGCATCTATGGCTCCTATAGATTCCGAAGAGATCCACTCTTTCTCCCTAACTTTATGGTTCACCTTACTAGCAGATATCATTGCTGTTTCCACAGCCTTTCGGATATCGTTCCAAGCTGTCGTCTCTATATGGGAATTGATAGCATGGCCGCCTTAATGTTTTCCTAGTTGTTCCAGAAATGTATTCTTATCTACGCTATCATAAATTAGAACCCTAAAAGGTTTCCTTGTAGTACCTTTCCTACGTCCAATAAAACTCAAATGAATAGGTGCTCACACTGGAGTAATCTAAACATGTGCTCAAGAACTAGAGGCAGTCTTCTATAAAGCCTCTCCGTCGGTGGCTGATAGTGATGTGATCTGGTTGTATCCAGCGTTGAGTTAACTTTGGGGGTCGCAAAGTCAAAAGATGTTTTTTTGTGCTTCAAGTTAGTGTTTGCTAGAAGTAGGCAGTTATCTGAGCATATCTGTAGCAGATGGTCACCAATATTTGTTCTTTGAGCCGTAACACAATAAGATCCACCCAAATGTCTTTCCTCTACACTTAGTCTACCTGCTTGAGCATTAAAGTCACCAGCTATTATTACTATATCAGAGCGCTTAACTTTTTGAAGAAGGTTAGAGAGGGTTCAGTGAAACTCATCTTTGACCTCGTCTAAACTACAGTCAGTGAGTGAGTAGGCAGAGACGGCGTAGAAGCAACAGCGAGTGTTCCTATCCTTCCGAGTCCTTAAGGTCCAGTTAAGTCGGACATCGCGTAAGCGACTGTTTACTGGTATCAAATCTAAGAGAGCTATTTCTGCTTTAGAACTAAGCGCTGTGTCTGCAACAGCGAGGCCACGAGAAGCAGAAGTGGGGCTTCCAGATACACAGATCATTAATCGAGATGGTTCTTTATTTTTGCATTGTGAGGTCATACGAATGACACTACTCATTTTCTGCATGCGCACTCCAAAAACACAGCATACATCAACGGCACGAGATCCTAGAGTCCTGACTAAGGAAGCTTGTTGCCCTATTTGACACAATGTCCAGACAGTAAAAGCTCCAACACGTAGTTTAGAACGGGTTTTCAGGAGACCAGGAATAACGTTTTGGGTTTTAGTTTTAGCTCCGCTGTTGTTTAAACGGCTTTACTGCAGGAGACGGAAATTCGTGACGTAAGGTGAGGTGTGATATTTTAGGGTCGGCCTTGTCTAACCCCTTCCTTCCTTGTGAGAAGGCAGAATCGCTGCAGATGCCGGTTGTCGGAGTGAAACAACTTACTGCTATCGCACGCCTCTACAGTCAGCATTATGATTTCGCCCTCAGACCTCGATTTGCTGCTTTTAGTCTCTAATCTACCGACGTGGCATAGTAGAAGCTACAGGAACATATGTTCCAGCCAATTTAGCTCGGTTGGGTCATCATGGTAGGCAAGCTTGACTACTACGCTAAGGTAGCAGCTACGTCCGGGCTAATGTTTAATCAGAAATGGAACAAAGATTCTTGAGTTATCGACTACTCTGGAACCGTTCAATGGTTTGTAGAATTTAATTTAAAGGATCATAATTCTTCTCCTAATACATGGGTCTAATTGTGATAATTGACATAGCCTGTATAGTATTTTATACATTTGATGCTTTAATGTTTGTTTCAAATGACAATTTTATATCTGTATAGGAAGAGCTTTACCTAGCTATACTCAGGGTAAAAAATTGGCATTTTGTTTGGATATTTGTTGTGTAGGGTGTTACCATTGCAACAGTTTTTGAACAAAATATTTGATCTATACGCGACTTTTGACAAATACAGTAGAACAATAGGAAATCGACCAAATGATGATGTCATGTGAGTGGTTGGCTGGTATTTTCAAGTACTGAAACATACATTTTTGGTGGCTCAATTTTTAAGAAACAGATATATTTGTATTTATGAATGAACTCACGTACATATCAATTTCTGTTTGAAAAATCAAATTCATTCTCATTCTCATAGTTTTCATTGAGACAGCAAGTTGGGCATGTATGTAGGGAGACTTTATATCAGTAACGAAATTCGACACCGTACATCACGACAGTAACAACAGGTTCAAATTTAAATTTTTTACCGCCTATTTAAAGGCTTTGAGCCAGCCACTTGTAAAATTTACGCTGAGACCACAGTGAAAGTACAAAAGGGTCACAAAAAAGATGTAACAATTTTCATTGAGTACCTAATGCCTGATAAAAAGTTTGCTTTTTGCTGAAAATATTTACAAGAAGCAGTTCAAAAAGAAAACAGTTACCTGTCCAATAGAAAATATTGAATGTGAATTACGAGGGGCGCTGGATAAAAATGGGGGAGCTTGATGATTGAAACTTTTGTTTTTATCATCTAGATCTTTTGGATCATAATATCCTGGTCCAATCTTAAAATGTATAAAGCAGAAACCCAAAATACATAACACAATACGATTAGTTATTCACGATAAGTCTAAAACTCACTAAACTAAATACACAAGCATATCTAATATAAATTAGCCAAAATGATACGACATTGACTAGGTCGGACCTGTTGGTTGGTCGTAAAAAATATTCTTGCTTTGCTCTTTTAGAAAACTTGGGTTAATTTAATTTGTTTATTTATATTCAGGGTCAAGAAACATCAGAAGAAATTTCTATTTATTTATCTCGCTAAGACATTATAAATAGACTGTTTTTATTTCTAACATTAAAAAATTTTATAGCTAGTGATCCAGTTCAGAATCAAAGTACGATTTTTTTTTGTTGAACTTGATTATGTTCTCATTTATTATGTCGTTAACAAGATATAACAGTATATATTTCACTGTCTAGGTAGGTACCAAATGCAAAAAGAAAGTTAATAAGTAATGATCAGCTTTGTTTTGGGCATTTAAAATGGTAAACTTACTTCTGAATGTGAGTAAAAGTATTATTTGTTGTCAAAGGAAGCTAGATCATCTGCATCTTACTATTACTAGTCTTGGCTAAGCTATTTGGTGAAACAACATATTATTACGGAAGTAAATGTCTGGAATATGTTTTAATTATTCATTATTTAAATCATTTATTTGTTAAATACTGTGAAACAAAAAACTTCTTAAGAGTATTAGTCTCACCTTAGATCTGATGAGGTCGTTTTGCATCCTAGCAGAATAGCACTGACCCAATTTTCTTTGATCAACTGAGAGTCTACGAAACATGCCAGTATATCGTCTTTCTGGTCGTAAAAGGTCGGATATAAATGACTTCACTGGATAGGTTCCTGGTTCTGGATATTCAGAAGTCTGCAAATTATTTAAAGGATTAGAGAGTTAAGTTGTAAAACAATAACAAACAGACGTAAACAACTTTAAGAGCTTATATTCTGTTCAAACTTCAAATCTAACTAAGGGTGTGTGTTTTCATACTAAATCCCCTACAAAACTTTATTTCTATTCTTATTTTCCTATCAGCCATTTTTTTGAATTTAGATTTATCAAACATTTATAAACATAAGACATGAATCCGCTTTGATTAAGGCTTCATTGCGAGTTAAAAACATCTCTGGTTTTTCATGTTTATGGCGTCAAATATATTTACTCTGATGAAAAGACCTGATCACCAACAAACTATCCCCTGAGATTTTCCACTTTAACTGACATTTAATCTGGAGTTAGCTTGTAAAATTTTTATAAAAAGCACGTGATAGTTTTACTTTTCACAATCATCTAGATCAAATGTACCAAAGAAAAAGACACATTGGAATCACAGTAAACCGATTTTAGTGTGTAGAAAAATACAATTAAAATATAAGCCATGAAATAAAAAGAACGGTTTGATCAAATTTCAATAGTCGACATTCTAAAGGAAATATAAGTCTATATTTGACATGGAGTATGAATACTTTTGCTCACATGAGTATGGCTTCTAGGTCCAGTCATCAAATCGTACGGTCCACGTTTCCCAGTTTTCTTATCCAGCAGTGTCTGTACTGAGCTGCTGACCTCGTAAGTACCTGGTGGAACATAACACCCCTTTTTGATAAACATTAGTTTGGACCATCTATTGAATTACTGTCAACGGTAATGAACGGTCTCCACTGCCACCACATTCTAATAAGCCTTTTCTACGGCATGAATTTTTCGCATCCATTATTTCTTTAAATAGATCACCTTTTGTCTCGTAAGTGCCCACTCCTGGAGTATCATTCTGAGTGAATATTCCATAAAAGTTATTTGAGAAAGTTTGATCCTTACGGCTGTAATTTCAGAAAAACGAACAGCAGCTGTGTTTATAGGTCCTATGGACTTTGAAGTTCCTCTTGTTTGGATTTCTCTTTGTAGGTTATATCGACCAGGTCCAAGGTTTCGTTGCTTTTGAAAAAAAAGTTTGCAAAAAAGAATCATTGTATAAATGAAAAAAACGTATTGTTACACATAAAATTATCATTCACTATTAAGATTTGTTTGCATTTTAAGGTAATTTGCACCTTGAGAGGTTCTCTCTCTCGAAATTCAAGATGATGCTTCAGGATTAGTTTGCATCGGCACCTGAACCAGTAATAAGGAGTGAAGCAGTTGAGCGTGTAGACCGCTTCACTTATCTCGGGAGTCTCATCAGTGTTGATGGTCTGGTGACTGGCGAAATCTCAACACAGATACAAAAGGCTCGACCGACTTCTGCCAACTTGCGTCATTTATGGCGTAGGCGAGACATTCGTCTTTTAACCGAACGACGAATTCACTGCAGAGCACATCACAGCACTTCACTCCATACTATTTTATGGCTATGAAACATGGTCAGTAATAGTAGAAGATATTCGTAGGTTGTTGGTTTTCGACCACACGTGTCTCTGAAGCATTTCTCGTATTACATGGGACAATCGAGTAAGCAATGATGTTATTAGGAAATGGGTACTAGTTATGGCGAGTGAGTAGATGAAGTAATGAATGCTCGTCAGTTGAGGTGGTTTTTCTACGTTATATCTGAGTCGACTTGATTAAATATTAGGGAAATGTAGTATAAGCTAAGTGAGTCGTCAAATAGGCTTATGTTGACCGTTCTACTTGAAATCCTATAATCTAACCAACTTTCCTGGAATTAAAGAGATGATCATTCTCAATGTGGGGAAAAATCGCTAATCAGTTAGCCTCCTTTTTTTTCTTGGTGTGTTATGTTAATCGTGACTGCAATTATCAGACAGTAGACCACCCTTATGGATGTGAGTTGCATTTAATATCGTTTCATATGAAATCTGTAAATTCCTCAATCGATTGTAAACAACAAGCTATTATACAGTAAGAAAAAAACTACTCACAAAAACATTCACGCAAGTCTTTAGGATAAAACTGCAGCTTTAGTAGTCCTATATCATTTTCAATTACTAATGTTTACAAACTGCGTTGACAGGGGTGGTGTTTGTCGTTAGATAGCTTTCAGAAACAACTCTGAATTTATTTTCACAGCTAGGTCTGTAAATTATTATGAGAATTCCGATTGGCCTTACTTATGGCTAACCAAATTACTAACTTCATATAGAAATGTTAGACAGATAGTCTTATAGCTCATGAAATACCAGCGATAAAGGTAAAACCGCAATCATGAGGATTAATAATCATGGAACTCCATTGAAATTTCAAAATTCATAACACAACATCGATGTCAACAACGTATCTTCTTGCTTGTCAAAACCTTTAATAATATATGACATTTACTTGGGATTCCTTTATTAGTTTTAGACTCCTGCTGAACAGGTTTGGTATAGTGGCATTACGTTTCGCCTCATATCCTCTCTTCCACCCTGACATATCTTTAATATCAGTAGATGTCTTGATTTTTTCCTTCGTTGTAAAAGAGTCATTACATTCGTAAGAGCCAGGACCTATGTTAGTGGGTAGGTATTCTTTCATCCATCTTGGATGCACGTTGATTCGTCCTCTAAATACGTCGCATTAACGTAAAAAATGTCAACCTATCTGTGCTGCTGCCAAATGATGGTTTACAACTCATTCGTGTAGAGGATTCATAACACCCCGTTATTATTACCATAGCGTTTCAATATCCAATATTTCGTGCCATTCGTGTGGAAACAACACCAACATGATTCTGTCACATTAGTTAGTCGCGTATCGTGAAGCCAGTCGGCTTTTAAGTGGCTGCTTATATATTTGTATATATGGCCATTCTGTCTCCTGTCTGGTGTACCCTATCGCTTCGGGAGATTGTCTTGCATTGCGATCTCACTTCGTTGTCAGCAGTGTCATGGGATAGCCATGTTTCAGTTAGGATTACGATTTTCAGATCCATCTGAGAGCACATATTCCTTATTTCTGACAGTTTATCCCTTTTTTCCCTTACTTTGTTATAGGGGGACTTGGTGGCTTGTCTTATCACCTGGTGCACCTCCGCATCAACAGCTTTTGTTGGATTTTCAAACAAGTTAATTGAACCAAGTTGACTAGCTCTGTGGGATTTGGCCTCTTCAAGTATTTCGCCTGTGTAGTGAGTTAAATCGTCGAGACTATTATCCTCGTGTCTTGTACCTGGGTTGTTGATCGAGTTCAGCTGTCAATTTCGTGCGTTTATTTTGGCCTCCCTGTTGTCGTCTCACAGACCTAGGTCAGCTTTCGCAACATCTAATGTGGCCACAGAGTTAGTTCTTTGAGCCATAACAAGCCTGAAATACCTCACTTAGGTCTTCCCGATTCCTGAACTCCACAGCCACCAGACGTGGCAACTTAAAAGACGTGTGGTGTGACGTGCGAGGCAGCCTATGCAAAGTGCTATCGTGATGTGAAGGCCGAGGTTACGTGATAACCATCATACTGTTGCACATCATGCACGTCAGCTTCATTCACACTACCACCATCCACTGGGAGGTTAACAACAAATGGCATTTTTGTCGGTGTGTTGGTTAAAGTTTTGGCGGCCTCGGTCTCCTGTTTCACTAACTTGGCACCAGGAGGTTTATTTTTGTCCGTTAGGGCTTTTAAGTTTATTTTGTGTGGAGTCTGTGGCTTCGCCGACGCTCAAGATACTCTGCACTATGGGAAGGTATACCAGAACCACGGATAGGTGTGACTGAATTTGAACCCAAGTACTCTTTTAGTACTGCAGTGTCGCAGTGACAGTGGACCCATGTACTACGGAAATTGCATTCAGAGGCAGAGTCACTGATTTTCACTGGCATTCAGTAGGTGATACAGTTGTTACTCTGAGATTTCTGCATGACAGATCGTGTCGACTGAACCTTAGGTCGTCTGTCTCTCCTATTCTTATTATATCTACTGGTCTTTTAAGAAGCAGAATTCTGAGGAGTATCGTTTTGGTTTCTGTGTTTTAGACCCAGTGGATCGAATGATCCAAAATGTGAACACTACTTCCAGGAATGCTGTCTAGCGACTGTTTGAATTTCTTCACAACCCTGTAGCCTGAGACCGTGATGTCGACCTACTACTGATTCCGGGGTTCATACCTCTACAGGTTTTCCTGGTTGTAATATTGTAAGCTGTAGTAACAGCCTTATAACTTATCATGATAAACGGGAGATTTAGAGATGAGAAACAAGATAATTTGGAGAGGAAAATACACGAGATAGGAGTTTTGGAGCGACTTGGGTTGATTTTGCTTGTCCGAATTAGTACTTAGATTGTCAACCAGTGAATGGAGACAACTTTCATATTTTCGTGAGTGATTAAATATCCCAATCTTGTAGGCGAAACGGGATTGTTTTCTGTAAGTGGAGGGAAGTCAACGAGGCTAATACAGCTTTGAGCTCGATTATTGTTCTTTCGGTACGGTTCCAGGTATTTTGTAGTGTCCACTGGTTGACAGTCTAGCCATTCGATCTCACTAATTTTAGTCAGTTGGTAGTTATTATGGAATTTGTAAGTCCCGTGATTTGAATGAGTGTGTCTGTTTCAGGTCAGCTGGGTTTCTGGATACCAGAAGCTATCACGTTACCAGGCCGAATATCGTTTATTTGAAATGTCAAGGATAATAAGGAGAAAATTCTAGTGCTGATATTAAGAAGATTTAAGAACTAAGTAACAAATAGATAAATAAGTTAATCAATAGATCGAGAAAACCGGGGAGGAAGAGGATAGCAGGAAACAGATATAATCAGCAATTCAGAATAAGTTAGTGATCTGAGGAAATGGAAATAATAACAACTAGCCAGTTTTAAGACACCCATTAGGCCTAGGCTGGGAGAGCACTCCAAGCTTCGACAACTACTTATGGGAAAAAGTGGAAACATATCCGAGTTTTTGCTATCTGATGTGCATTCCTTCGAGGGTTACCTTAAGATGCGCGTTGTTGATGTTTTTAGAAGATCTTCGTGTTGGGATGACTTGATGTATGCCATTACTAGATCATCTCTTATTTTCCCATAACTTCACGAGAATAACCCAAAGCTTTGCAGTCTTTCTTCGTAAGGCTTATTCCTCAATCCTAACACCCATTTATTTGCGCGTTTCTCCACTCGATCCGAGAGGTTCGTCTCTTTTAGCGAGATAAGTTGCGATGACGTCATGAACCTCAAGATGTGGACGTGTTTATCTTTCAGAAAGAGTTAATAACCATTTTGCTTTTGACCATGTTTATCACGACTGCAAATTGTCACTAATTCTTATCAGTGTGTAGACAAAAAACATTTCCCATTAGGTACCGATCACTGATTAGCAAAGGTTTTTATGTCCTTACCCCAGTTCATGGCTTTACTTATATATTCAGGCAGTCCAGAACTTCTGATCTCTGTAACAAGCCGCTATAGGAGTGTCATCTTTCAGCTAACATTCAATTAGGGACTGTTGAAATCTCCAGCTAAGAGTGCATAGTTAAACGCTAGACGTGTTTCCTGCAGTGTCGATTTGGTCAAATTTTCTTTCTGTGTACTGCTACTTTAGGGGCACCTATGAAATATTCTAAAATCAAGTATTTCTTGCAAATCTCAATAAACCTAAACCAGAAAGATTCTGTTACCCAAGTTGATTCGTTAGTCTGCGTTGTTGTGGCTACCAAGTGCCCCTAAGTGGATACTGCTAATCCTCCTTCTCTTTTGTGTACCTTATGGCATCGTAAGAAAATCTTCAGTTGCAAGTTGACTTAATGTTCTGTGATGTCTAGCGATATAAATGCTCCATTAGTGTTAAGGATCATCAGCTCCATCTGAGAGTAAATTTATTTACCCCAGCCAGTTCACCTCTTTTGTCTTCCTACATGGTAGGAAAAAATGATATTTTGTTTAATGATATAAATGACATCATTTGAGTTTGACTTTTAAGAGGAATCGACTAAATTCCGTTAATATCTGTGTGCGAAGCTGAGATACTGTAATTGATGTGACATTGTGAATGCCTATGCTATTAATGGAGGGGACTTACGCTTCACTATATCAGTGCCTGTTGAAGTGGTGCCCACCCTTCACCATCTGTCACATTGCTTTTTATCTAAGTGGTGTCATTTCCTAGTGAGCTACTTTATGACACTGGAAAAGCTAGAAGATTAAGGAAGTTTTACATAACTTCTTTGTTCCTGCTTTTACATGATTCAAGATCCCTGTTTGTGTTGTTTTCTTTTACGTAGCCCACCCGCTGATTTTTTCCACAAATAACCACTGAAGAACAATCAGCACCTCGCTGGTATGTGACTATCCCGGTCGCTTGTCTGGTCTTGTCTATAATTTGTTTTTGCTGCTGAAGTTTTGTAAGGTTATTTTCCTTATAAGTAGTTTAAATGGCTTGTTCATCTACTCTGTGACCAAATAGCTGTATCCTTAAAAGTTGGAAACCGTCAGGCTGCAAATAAAAACATCAATCTTTGTAGCATCCTAGCACTAGTACTCCTTAGTAAGCTTGTTATCCTTACTGATTCACGAATCGAGGGTTTCCTTCTAACCTGCCTCTTAATCCGAAAGTTCGAAAAACAACCTCCACAAAATTCTTGTATTCTGACCAGATATATAGGTAATACACCAACATTGCACGACGCAAATATACGTTTGCATACTAGCAAGTCAAACGGGGCTGTCAGGAAAGATAGGAATGATAGACCATACAAAATTAGTTAATCGCTCAATCACGACCTTGTGACAAAATGAATAAAAATTAGCAATCATCTGGTTATCTCTAGACATACAATGATTATATATATAATACTTCTTTGCTAGTTATTCCTACTACTTACCTTTTCTCTAATCTTCTTTGGAATGTGACACAAACATGACAGAACCATGTGCGGCAGTGACTTGACATGAAGTGACAGTGCCATCTAGGTACTAGAGTGTCACAATAACAGTGTACAGAATTACCACGGAAGTAGAATTCTAAATTCTGAGTCTCCTACTTTAACGAGCGATGAATATAGGATGCTTGTACGTCTTCGCTCCCTTACGTGCTAAGTTACAGGCAGTTCAGTATGCCACTTTCTTCTGTTTTGTTTCTGCCTACTAGTTTTATTAGTCGTAGGAGTTTAGATAGGAGTGTAGTCCTGATTACTTAGTTGGATACTCATTTGAAATGGTCGAATTGAGTGATCTGTACAGATCATTTTGAGGTTCAGTATCCAGTGTGGGGTTGAGTTAACATTGAACTCAGTTGCTAGAAACAGAGGTTTTCTGCCAATTATAAATCCATGAAATTAAAGCTCTGCCAGTGTTTTTGTTCTTATAGTGGAAGTAATATCATCAACTCTACTGTTCATGAGACTTAGTAGACTAAGAAGTAGACTTAGTTACTTACTGAGGCAAGTTTCCATCCATTGATCATAGGCCGCCGACCAGCATTCTCCAACAAAGTCTGTCCTGAGCCCTCCTTTCTTGTTCTGTCCAATTTCTGTTAATTATTCTCATGTCTATCTCCACTTCTCGGCTTAATGTTCTGCTTGGCCATCCTCTTTTCCTTTGGCATTGGCAGTTTCAAGTGAGGGCTTGTCTTATGACAAAGTTAAGTGCTTTCCTTAATGTGTGTCCTATCTGCTGCCAGCACTTCTTCCTGATTTTTTCCTCGGCTGGAATCGGGTTCGTTCTCTCCCGCAGTTGACTGC